AATTGTCTGTAGAACTCCTTCTTCTTCTCTTGGTTTGCATTATTTGTAGGTGCGTAGCGTAGCATTGTATGATTGTAACTTTCGTTCCTTTTGATTTGAATCTTGCTGTCATGATTGTGGAGTGGATTGGTTCTCACTGCATGAGAGCCTTTGCTGCTCTTGGCAACATCATGATAGCCACTCGAAAACTCAGTGTGCTCGTGGCTGTTGTCTGGGTGATAATATCGGAGTAGATTATTGACTCTCCAGTTAAGAGTTTGAAGAGTCCACTTCCATTCCATCTGCAGATTCCTCGCAGATCCCAAGCACTCCTATACCATATCTTCTCATTCGGTTTGCAATCTGGCGACACTTCGTCTCCCTGATTCCAGCGGGGAGAAGTTTATTTTTATTTTGTATATATTTTTGTGCTTTGAAGTTTCTTTAGCGATTGGATTGCTTTTCCGGGGTCGAGTTGCTAGGCCTATGCCGAAACTTTCCTGTTTATCCGGGTTTAGGGCCGGCTAGTAAAATAGGCGAGGTTCGTTCAGGATCTTGGTGATGATAAAAAGTTCTTACATATGAGTCATCGTGACCAATTTTGATCTATATCACCAAGATTATCTAACCGTTGGTTCATATCGTCTCAAGTATCCCAACCAGGAAGTTTGCTTAGATCAGCTATCAGGGACTTCATCAACTGATAGCATGTCTTTACCTGACCAATTTCAGCTATCGTCCAATTTAATCAACGGTAGCTAAGATCGTGCAAATAGACAGCCAATGAGGTTTCACAGCCACATCGATTGACTTGCTATTCCTGTGTAGTATCCCATGCCTTCAACATTGCTCACAGTGATTGCATCACATGCCAGCAATGTTACTAAGCATCATCAACATATTCGAATTGTTTACTGCTCACAAACGAATACGCTAACCTTAAGATAGAAAGTGAGTCACACCAATTACTTTTTTTAGCATTATGAGTGATGGGTCTACAAAAGCCGGTCAGCAGTTAGTTTCTGTGGAACCCTGACACAGAGTTTTTCATCAGGAGGCACTTTACTGGTAGTGATAGCACTGCCTTTTTAACCACTGACAAACGGTTCTTTCGCTTTTGGTGTATCATCATTATAAAAGTTGATCCTTGTACTGGTGTTTCACTTTTGTTGCATTGATTTTTGTGAGATCCTTATATTTTTATCTGCTGAACTCATGTTTAGATTCTAGAATGAGTGAAGTGTTTATTTTTCTTTTCAGAGTGCTAGGTTACCAGCCTATACTAAAACTGCTGAACCGAACCGATTAGCTGAACTGTTCCTTTCACTTGCAGTATCATCTTCACTTAAGTGCATAATAGTCTGTTTCTGATCAAAATTTTAGGATTTTGCTATCACCGGTATTCAGTAGATATCTTTCTTCCAGGTTTATGTCTGCGTCCAATAAATTAAAACAATACCGTGGCTTTCATTAATTGTAATGCGAGTTGTTCAATGATATGTCACACATTTTTATGATTTTGTCTCACTCAATTTTATGTTACAAAATTCTGAATCCAAATCCCACCGAATCCCTAAATGTGTTTTTCGAGTGTCTTAGCACTGAAGATGTTTATTTTGAGAGGTAGTATGTTGGTTTGTCGATGAAGTTCACGATTGATTTCAGTGGAACCGGAAACTTGTTGACCTTAGTTAGACTGTAAAATCTTGAAGGTCCACAAGACTTAGACCTCAGTTTGGACTAAGTAGAGAGACTGGTTTTGGGTTTCAGCTCTTGAGGTATTCTATTTAAGTTTCACTTTACTCACTTTGGATGTCCTGAGCAATAGAAAGAATTCAGGAAAACTGGAAGTATACAGACTCATACGTATCATATCCTCAGCTGTAGTAACAACAATCCAACGACACATAAAATCAGTTGCACAAAAACATTTTTCCAAAGAGCGAAGACACGTTGTAGTGCTTCAACCTTACTGAGAAAAGAGAGCTATTGAATGACTTTTTTCGAAAGAACGGCTATCCACGCAGTTTTATCGTAAGATGTTTGTATAATTCGTCGTCAGCCAAGAAGTCGGCTTCAAAAACCAACAAACGGATTATCTTACCCTACATGAAGGACGTCTCCGAGATCACGACTAGTTTATTGAAGCCTTTTGGAATTGCTTTAGCTTGCAAGCCCACAAAATCTCTTCACTGTCTGTTATGCAGGCTAAAAGTTGCAAAAGCAAAGGAAGGTAAGCCAAACGTTGTTTACAAAATAAACTGCGAAAAACGCTGTATCGGACAAAATGGTCGCCTTCTTCGTACCCGCCAACATGAACAATAACTAGCAAGGAAGCTTCATGACAAATCTTCGCTCATGTCAATACAAGCAGACAATGGTGAACTTGAATTCAATTGGAAAAATGTGTAAATCCTGGATATAGGAAGTACAAAGAATCCCAGGGAATTTTTAGAAGTGTGGCAGTCAGGTCAGTCAGCGACCAAAAGACATATTGACATTGAAACAATTTGTCAACCAATAAATAACACAAACAACAAAAAAATTTTGGATTGATTTCTGTGTGATGCTTATATTTTTATCTGCTGAACTCATGTTTAGGTTCCCGAATGAGTGAAGTGTTTATTTTTCTTTTCAAAGTTCTGTTGACCTGAATCGATTACCTGAACTGTTCCATTCACTTTCAGTTTACGGATTGTTTCTAAGCTGGAGTGGTATTTTGATCTCAGTTACATTGCAAAGCCATTATAGAAGCCCATATTTTTAGCTGAAGCTGAGTCGTATGCTCATCGTTAGCGCAAACATTGACATGAGCCGGTGGGACATCTGAATATTTTATGTTTCGTATTGTGACCCATCTTTCCATCCACTTGACTCCCAGCCAGTGGGTTCTAGGTTCTAAACTTTGTTTTCCAAGATGAGAGCAGCTACTTAGTACCACTCTTCAGACAGTAGATGTTACAACGTACTAAACGAATCTGTATCCAGCTGAAGAGGTGAATTCATTTCGGGTTTAAAATTTTCAGTACCCAATTAGCCCACTTATAGTAGCCCAGAGTTTCATAAACCGAATTTATCGTTGTCTTCCACCAATAACCATGAGTCTAAAAGTTGGGTTAGACTTCTACAACTTTCGTTGGATAATTTACCGACCAAATAGTGTTGCATCTAGTTTTAATGTAATTAGGGTTTTCCTCACATATGTAAGTCTGCACTAGGTAGTGATGTATCACTGTAAGGATGCTATGTTTGTGTTATTGCCTTCTTCCATTCTGTATTGCGTTTTGCAGGTGCCATACTTGAGTATCCTTCCAACGTTCATTATTTATTCTTGACCAAATGAAGTGAAAACTTTGCTACCATTGTCAATATTTCTAAACACTTGTTTCACCCGGAATCTACTGTTCAGCTGATCAGCAGAAGTTCTAGGAATTGCGACCAGTTACAGCTGTTCGTACTCTTTTTGTTCTTAAATGCATCTGAAAAACTATCTTATGTTACTTTTGGTACATTGCGGTCAATGGTCACTCTACGAAACATCTCTTATTTCCATTAAGACATTTTTCTTGCTACACAGTTTTAGGACTTACTGTTGTTTTCTTTAAGGACTGACTAAACATAAAGCCACTTTGTTCTCGTGAGTCAGTTTTCAAAAACGTCATATCACTGATCAGTTAGTCAATAGTGACCATTCCTGTTTGGAGTCCGGAGACTGAAAATCTTCATTGAAGTGTTATATTTTTAAACTCATGATTGGTTTTTACCCAGTCACTATACATCAGATGGATAAGCACCATCTAACATCTGTGGTTTATTCTTATAGTATTCAGTCATCAATAAAAGTGAAGTTATGTGCTTTTAACCAAAATTCTCTGTTATTTCGTTAGGTACTTACAAACTGGGTGATATTGTTTACGGCTGATTATTTCACAAAATCTTTGATGGGTATTGCTTTCGTTATCAATGTATCAAATAGCCAAGTTAATATGTCTGACATTCTCATGCAGTACATTTAAGCTGACTTCACTTCGTCTTTGTGAACACTTTTGCTAAGTATCTGCCTTAATAGCTGTCACATTTATTCAAATTACACTATCACTACCTAGGTATCAATATCCATTATCCAAGATGCTGACGTTGGTTTGTGAATTGTGCGTACTGTGCGGTCTTGACTAAGTTTGTGTTATTACTAAGTAGCACCGACAGTTTACATTTGTAAATTGAACAACAAGATAAGAAAAACAAGAGTCTGTTAAAGTCTAGTTATCAGCTGGGCTTCAAAGCTCCTTTGGTGAAATGCCGAGCCAGTAAGTCGGTGGTTGCTTATTCTCATTCCGCCACGACCGATTGTAGGTTTTTAACAGTAGTTTTCCGCATATCATAGATCGCATATAGTGAAATCACTGCGTATGCAATTTCAGAGTTAGGTACTTAGTGCTAGGCAAGTCAGTTAATAAAGTTTTGTCGAAATACCACCTACCTCTTCTTGCGGTGCTAGCCGAATTAGAATTGGGTTGGAAGAAGGCTAACGGTGGTCAAACAGAGGTGTTGCACCAATCCATAAATTCACTGATTGTTAGTCTAGGTGGTGCGACTGAAAGTCAGTCATACTGAATCAGACATTTACACTGTCTTTCATCGAGATTTTAAACATTTTTGTTCACCATCTATTTATTTTCTCTCGTCTGACACACTTTTGTTTACTTAATACTACTTTTTCTACTCACTTCTCTGATTCTGCTACTAAGTGTGGCAACGTAGACTGACGCACTTCTGTTTCAGTTTGTCAGTTTATTTTTCTGTTTGCTGCAACCTAGGTCTTCAGCTTCCATCATTAGCCGGTATCACTTCGTGTTCTTTTTTACACTTTAGTGGATGAATGTTGATTTCAAAATGAAATGTCCAGTTTATATGCATATTGCAATTCCCACTTCTATCCAACTATGAATTGTATTATTGTTATTTTCCCTTTTCATCGTTTTAATAATATTGTGCTGTATCGAATTGCTTCCGTATTTTAGGACGTTTCTTCTAAAAGTTGGGTCAAGTGTGCTAGTCTTGTTTTCTTGACATGCCAAACTTCTTGTCTGATTCTGTTAATGCGTTTTTCACGTACACGCCAAAGCTCTGAATTATACTTCGTTTCGACGGTCGTTGTATGTAGCGAATTTCTGAAGCTCCTACTATCGGCGGTTTTAGTGTTACTTCAAGAAGGTAAGTGTTGTGTGAATAACTTCGTTTCCTGACTAATTTTATGTATTGCTGACTAGATGATGCTGCATATAGCCTTAGCAAACTTAGAGACTCGTCTTACACTCAAGTTAATTCTGGTTCACCGTTTATCTCGTTAAGATTTGCTTAAGTCTGATAACCATTTCGTAGCAGTTAAAATGTTTAGTGCACGTAGTAATACTATAAAGTGATATTTTTGATATAAAATTTGAATTTGATTTGATAAATCTAAGAAAGGCACCTGGGACCCAACCTATAATTCACTTGTTAATCGAGTGAAATTACAAGCCACAAACAAGTTGAACTAGCTAAGTCGCAGGAATCAGAGCATGGAAAACACATGTTGCATTATGAAGTTCTTCAATATCATTGTAAAAATAACAGGTGTACCACAGACCAAACTACGAAATTTAACTTATCATACCAAAAATTAGTAAGCAAAGGAAAGCAGACAGATAGACAAAATTAACGTAGAAACACACAAAAATGCATCGGTTCAAGTTGCTACGCTTCACAGTAGCATGCAAAAAACAAGTGGACAGGAAAGACTAGACAAAGGTGTATGGGAGAAAGAATAATTTGAAGACAAAATCTATTGAATATGTTCAAGCTTTCAAGGATGTCAAAGTGTGAATACATCTGTGCGATTGTGACCGCTTATCAGCCATTTCACCGAGTCTTCCAACATTGATTCTATTGTTCTCAAGGACAACAACCAAATAGTCTACATCTCTGTACACGGCTCAGACTAACAATCAATGATAGGGATTGGCGGCACGTCATAGTTTGGCCATTCCGAGCCTTCTGTCAACCCTTCTCTACTTCAGCCAACGTTGCTTGTCGAGGTAGTCTGTGGCATGGCGGGCGCAAGCTGCCTCAATCGGTGGATGTTGACAACCTCATGTACTGTCTTACTCTCCTCCTCTCGTTCTCTTCGTCTAACCTAAACATTACTGACATGATTATTCTACCATAAATGGGAAATGCTATGAAGACACCTGTGTTCTAAAAACTATGATCTTTTCACGTTACTTTCCAACGAGCATGTGTCCCAGCCTTATAACGGAATAGCACGGAATGCAACGTAGTATATTCTTCCTTCAAAAGATAGTCGGATATCCCACATGTGCGAGAGATGATGCAAGTTGGTAAGTTTGCCTTATGTATCCAAGCTGACATATCATCAGGATCCAACTCATTAGGGCAAATGCACCTCCCCAAGTAAGTGAAGTGGTCGACGCATTCCACCACTTCACTCCCTATCTTTAAACTGAGAGTAGCTGGATACCAGCACTGAAGTATTATCTTATATCTGGCAGAGGCTAATCGTATGTGAAAGATATTGAGATTTCTGCTCAACGCAGTCAGCGCCTTCACCTAGTAGGATGATGTCATCTACGTACTCCAAGTGAACCAGAAGGCCTTCGTGGAGTAGATCAATCCATGTGAAGTCAGACGTACCTAGGGTTCTACCCATTATTACATCTACAGTGAAGTTAAACAGGAACTGTGACAGTGGACATCCCTGGCGGATACTACTGTTTGTCGTCAATTCATATGATAACTCTCCATAGGGCGTTACATTGCGACGTGATTTCGAGTAGAGAAGTTTGATTAGCGTTATTTACTTGCTCCTTAGTTCCTCAGTTGGACACTATCAGAAAACTTGGTCGACAGAGTTGACTATACCACCTTCAAGTCAAGAAATATGACTTATCGGGAGCCGGTAAGAATGCCTGTATTCCAGAACTTGTCGGAGGGTGGAAATACGATAGACGCACTCTCGTCCAGGTCTGAAAACTGCCTGGCGTTCTTGAGTCTGTGGTTTGGCATGCGCAACACATGTTCAAGTCATCATGTTTCGGCTTGCTGTGTTAGCTGAAGTGACGCTCATATACAACGTAGAACCTCCCACACAGGTGCAATGAGTCAAATCGCCAACTTTACAGTAATACACAAAGAGCAGGCAGATAGAAAGAGTGATATCAAAGAAGATAAAGTAGTGTGAGCGAATGAGCAGTCTGAAAATAACGGATAGTCTGAACATTCAAGCTTTAGAAGATGTCAGTACACCGCCGTTGTGCAAGTGTATTTAGTCAGTCCCTGAAGTCATTGATTGTTAGTCTGAGCCGTTTAGACTATCTGGTTGTGGTCCTTGAAAACACGGAGATCAATGTCTGAAGCCTTTCGGTAAAATGGATGATAAGCGGTTACAATGGAACAAAAGTATCCTTGACATCTTCTGAAGCTTGAATATTCACACTAACCGTTATCTTCAGACTGTTTATTCTTTCATACAACTTTCTCTAGTTTGATATCACTCTCTTTTTATACATTTGTTCTTCATCGACTACTACATGACTAAAAACTTGAGCCGATGCGCCTACGTGCGAGGTTCTACGTTGCTATAGTCAATCGTTCCCTGCTTAGTATTCTTTGTCTGACCCCAACATTGCTCACAGTGATTGCATCACATGCCAGCAATGTTACTAAGCATCATCAACATATTCGAATTGTTTACTGCTCACAAACGAATACGCTAACCTTAAGATAGAAAGTGAGTCACACCAATTACTTTTTTTAGCATTATGAGTGATGGGTCTACAAAAGCCGGTCAGCAGTTAGTTTCTGTGGAACCCTGACACAGAGTTTTTCATCAGGAGGCACTTTACTGGTAGTGATAGCACTGCCTTTTTAACCACTGACAAACGGTTCTTTCGCTTTTGGTGTATCATCATTATAAAAGTTGATCCTTGTACTGGTGTTTCACTTTTGTTGCATTGATTTTTGTGAGATCCTTATATTTTTATCTGCTGAACTCATGTTTAGATTCTAGAATGAGTGAAGTGTTTATTTTTCTTTTCAGAGTGCTAGGTTACCAGCCTATACTAAAACTGCTGAACCGAACCGATTAGCTGAACTGTTCCTTTCACTTGCAGTATCATCTTCACTTAAGTGCATAATAGTCTGTTTCTGATCAAAATTTTAGGATTTTGCTATCACCGGTATTCAGTAGATATCTTTCTTCCAGGTTTATGTCTGCGTCCAATAAATTAAAAACAATACCGTGGCTTTCATTAATTGTAATGCGAGTTGTTCAATGATATGTCACACATTTTTATGATTTTGTCTCACTCAATTTTATGTTACAAAATTCTGAATCCAAATCCCACCGAATCCCTAAATGTGTTTTTCGAGTGTCTTAGCACTGAAGATGTTTATTTTGAGAGGTAGTATGTTGGTTTGTCGATGAAGTTCACGATTGATTTCAGTGGAACCGGAAACTTGTTGACCTTAGTTAGACTGTAAAATCTTGAAGGTCCACAAGACTTAGACCTCAGTTTGGACTAAGTAGAGAGACTGGTTTTGGGTTTCAGCTCTTGAGGTATTCTATTTAAGTTTCACTTTACTCACTTTGGATGTCCTGAGCAATAGAAAGAATTCAGGAAAACTGGAAGTATACAGACTCATACGTATCATATCCTCAGCTGTAGTAACAACAATCCAACGACACATAAAATCAGTTGCACAAAAACATTTTTCCAAAGAGCGAAGACACGTTGTAGTGCTTCAACCTTACTGAGAAAAGAGAGCTATTGAATGACTTTTTTCGAAAGAACGGCTATCCACGCAGTTTTATCGTAAGATGTTTGTATAATTCGTCGTCAGCCAAGAAGTCGGCTTCAAAAACCAACAAACGGATTATCTTACCCTACATGAAGGACGTCTCCGAGATCACGACTAGTTTATTGAAGCCTTTTGGAATTGCTTTAGCTTGCAAGCCCACAAAATCTCTTCACTGTCTGTTATGCAGGCTAAAAGTTGCAAAAGCAAAGGAAGGTAAGCCAAACGTTGTTTACAAAATAAACTGCGAAAAACGCTGTATCGGACAAAATGGTCGCCTTCTTCGTACCCGCCAACATGAACAATAACTAGCAAGGAAGCTTCATGACAAATCTTCGCTCATGTCAATACAAGCAGACAATGGTGAACTTGAATTCAATTGGAAAAATGTGTAAATCCTGGATATAGGAAGTACAAAGAATCCCAGGGAATTTTTAGAAGTGTGGCAGTCAGGTCAGTCAGCGACCAAAAGACATATTGACATTGAAACAATTTGTCAACCAATAAACAACACGTGAAACGAAAGGAAGTTCGCAGTTCGCGTTACGTGCATGACTAATCAGCATTCGTAGGCAAACGATGACCAGATTTTAGGAGAAGCAACCAGTCAAGCAAGGTCATCAGGATAAGCTTCTACGCAGTTTTGAGGGAATTCCATAGCTCATTTCCTTTTTGAATTTCGTGTTGTTAATATCGCGTGGTATGACAATGAAAGCTTCACGATAAAAAAAATCGAGTTCAGGGAGGACAACACCATCTAAACCATAGGTGTCACCAAATTCTGTCTCACTTTTTGTATCTAGTCGTCGTCCTGATGTCATTACTTTTTAAGCTTTATGAGATGCAACCATATAATTGACTTTCTTTCTCAAATTTAAAGCATTCAAAACTTCACTATTTGTTCATACGATGTAACGATTGTGTTCGACAATTCTGTTCAATAATCTTTTTTCTGTCGTGTGAAAAGATTTATTAATAAGGTCATCCTAATGAATAGGTATCTTCAGTTGACAAAAAATAATATTCATCTCTATCATTTTACTTTGCTAATCAACCGTAATTCGTCTTGATCATTATTGATAGGTTGATTTTAAATACGCTGCTGTATAGTTCTTTGTTTTGTGGGTATCCAATGCTTTTTGGGTCAATCAGGGACAATCGAAATCATGGTTCACACGCTTGTTGGTGTTTTGCTGTTGTGAATACACTATCAGTTAGTTTTCTTATCTCTTTTTTTCATTTCCTCTGCTGACAATTTTAAGTCGTCTAGAGAAACGATCATTTTCAAAGTGACTTCTCAAGTGTATGGGGACTCCATTTATCTATTTCCCTCACTTAGTTACAAAGTAGATGGGATAATGATAAGATATAGAAACTAAAGCTCATTAAGTGTTTCTATAATGTAGATATAACATTATCACTACTTTTCAATTTCAGTTTGTTGTAACTAATAGTGAGGATTCAATCTTAGTTTTATGATCAAACTGAGGTCGTAAATAAGATTTTTAAAACATTTGTTGCACGATATTGGTTTCGATCAGACAAAAAAAGAAGTAGTTAATATTTATTTCCAACTTGGTTGTTACAGGGAATATTATCGCAAATTTTGGGCTCTGAGTAAAAGGTTGACATTCGATAAAGTTTGTATTTGGGTAAGTCACAGTATGTTAGAATTGGTTGTTAGATGTTATGATACTCTTGTCGCTGACCGAACTTTCATTTTCCTAGCCAGAACTCTCGACTTCAGTCTGGGATTCATCTTCAGTGTTACTCCACAAGAAACTAGCAATAACTGAAGCGTCTGCTGAATACACAGTTCTGAATGTCCCATCTAACCGATTACAGTTTTGAATATCTTAACTTTCGTATGCCTAAACGGCCAAGCAAATAGTTTACGAGTTTACCGAAACTGTAAGGAGTAGAATTTGTTATCAATCTTAAAACATCTGTAGTATTTGGTCAGTTGTAGTTGTCGAAGTAAAAACTAAATCATCTAGCGAAACGGAATAGATATTTAACTACTTTTACACATATTCCAGGAGACAAGTTATCTGTAGAAATTTATCATAGTCGATCTTACCGTATTTATTGCTGGAATCGAAAACAATTCTTGTTCACCTATGTTTTGCATGAAAATGTTCCTTCCGTTCTTCATCTTCTGCATCACATGTTAAGTGAAACAGTGTGAACATCCTTCTTCAAGGTAGAGTACTGTTCAAATAATCAGTTCCTTATTATAATCCCTTACTAAAGGGTGCATTTCTTATTGTCCTGGGTTCGTGTTAAGATGAGTGAATAACTAATCTTTAGAGGGGAACGCTCTCCAATCTTTTTCTGAATTATTCTTATAGTAATACTTTGTATCCGTTTTTATGATTTTCTAGGTAATATTCAACGTGGTCTTTCATTGATTTACAATCAGATTATTGTCCAGTATAAAGATGCAGCTCAAATTCTTATTCCTTCAACTCTGTATGTGGTCCAGAATAATTTACTTTATTTCGCTATTTCACGATTAAATGCTGTTTTATATCAAATACTTTATCAGACTAAAATTTTCACTACGGCCTTATTTATGATACTACTGTTGAATCAACGTTTGCGTTCGATTCAGTGGTTCGCTCTCGTATTACTCAGTGCAGGCATCGTGTTAACACAAGTGAGTTCTCATCATCATCTTAAACACTATGTAACCGATGAATATATTCTTGTAAACAGTAAAGTAAGTTTATTGTAGCCTGTACTTTTAGTTGTTGAGTAGTGCGCGTATACTACAAACCAGTTCTCTGTCTTATTCTTTAACCGTAAGACATGTCCGTCTAGTTCTTACGACCTGAATGTTACAGAATTTTATCATTGATGTATTTGTGACATGAGTTGTGTATCATGGGACAACTGAGCAGAGTTCTAAGTGATAAAAGTTCTAAACTAGCACCCACTGAGTTGACTAAGACAAGTTTAAACAGCGTAATGAGAAGACGAAGATTATCTGAAACATGTGATGTATTAGCGCTATACATTTCGAACAATCTGATCACACATGGACTTGTCGAACTATTTATATGAAAATTTACGAAAAGGTCAATGAAGTTAATGGGAAACATAGGAATAGGAAGGGATGTGTGGACACATATATAAGGAGGAGTAATCGTGATATGCAGTTAAGGAAGGCTGAACATGTGCCTAAGTGGCTACAAAAACAAATGACCTCAACAGATCCGATAAGTGCAGGTGACAAACATCCATCTTCGTCTATCGCTAAACATATACTAGAAACTAACCACAGGATAGACATGAAAACAGCCTTTAAAGTACTACATAAAAGTGGTCAGAGCCGAGTGCTTAAATTTATTGAAGCTCTTGCCATCCGTAAATTTAAACCCCTTTATGTGTACAAAAACAATTTGTACTCACGTTGAACCTACCTTGGTAGTATTGATTTTAATTTTCATACCAAGAATAAGGTTTTCCTTTTCTATCCCTTCCTATTCCTATGTTCCCATTAACTTCATTGACCTTTTCGTAAATTTTCATATAAATAGTTCGACAAGTCCATGTGTGATCAGATTGTTCGAAATGTATAGCGCTAATACATCACATGTTTCAGATAATCTTCGTCTTCTCATTACGCTGTTTAAATTTATCAGAGGGACCAGTTGCTTTAAGACAAGTTTCATGTGTGTTGAGTTACTTTCTATCCTAATATGAGGTTTGCTACATTGTAAACTTAACCTTGAAAATTCTTAATGATGGCCGTATGACATTGTGTCATTTCTAACCTGATCAGTGTAGAAAAGTTTAGACTGCCTTGCTGAAGTCCTCCAGTTTTCGAGAAGCAATGGTTGACAAATTTCGATGACGGCTCAAAATCGATAACGATGGCTCACCTGTGTTCACCCTTTATCATTAATAACCATTTTCACTGCCATTCATCTGATTATTCTTTTTCCTCTTACTTTTTTTGTATATTGTAATGCAATTACATTAATGTTCTTTACTTTTTTCTACGCCGTTGCGAATTTCGGCGTCTTAAAACGATATACTATGTGTAGCCCGATGTTGGTGTATCTTTTTTTACTAAAACTCGTGACATGTACTATGAAAGTCAGTTAACTTGTGCTAACTATCTTTGACAATAGGTTCAAAATCAGCATTCTTGGCTGGTAGTTTCTAATGAAGTTATGAATTGCTTGTACATACCACTTTTTGAGTTCGCTGAAGCATTTATTTAGCGAACTGTATTTTTCAACATTTAATTGAAAAATGTCTGACGGTATGAAAGTCAGTCTTTGAACTTCTGAATTATCCCCAGTAAAATAACCTGAAATATCTTGCCTACTACTGAGAGCTTTTACGGCCCTATCACATTAAGAGTATCCAGGAGATCTGATTCCCACAACAGTATTTGTTCATCCGTCATTTTATTCCTTGATAATGAAAAAACTATGAGGATAATAATTTTGAATCCGTACAAATAGCCTCTACCATTGACGTAGTTAGAAAAACGGGCAAAATGAACTGACATTCACTATTTCAAAACCTTGCCGTAGATGCAGTAAGAAGTACGTACAAAACCATACAGTTTGTAAAATGGACTTGCCGTAGTGTGATGCAAGTGCATCTCGTTGCTTATCTACTTATATGTACAATAAAAATATTTGTGCTTATTATACTTTATTCATTTGTCTCATTAAAACTATCCTATAAAACTCGAACAACCCCTCGAGACGGACAGATGAGCGAAATCAACGCAGAATGTCACACAGAAATACATCCGTCCAAGTTGCTACACTCCACAGTAGCATTCAAGGAACAAGTGGGCAGAGAGAGAGAGAGAGTGACATCTAAGTAGGTGTATAAAAGGAGAAGTGATTTAGAAATGAAGATACGTCGAACCATTCAAGCTTCGGAAGACGTCAGAGAGTGAATCCTTCAGCGGAATTGTGATTGGTCTTCAATTGTGTCACCAAGAGTTTGTAAACCCTGGTTCACATGATCTCGAAGACCCCAACCGTGCAGTCCACGCCTCCCCACACGCCTAAGACCGACAGGGAGAGACTTCATGGAGTACTGACACTTCTTAGTCTGCCCCCAATAACTCCTCTTCCAACCTAATCCAACTTCGCCTAGCACTGCACGCCAACGTAGGTAGGCGTGGCTCGGTATGGGCAACACTTGTTCAAGCCACATTCCCTCCCTTGCCGAGTACCTTCCACCTAACCTCTGAATTGCTCAAATGATGATTCCACCACGCGGGAGCAATGTTGCAAAATAATCTGTTGTCTCTATATATACTTCAATGATCATATCTCACAGCCGTATAACAGGACAGAACTGAGTGCAGCATAGTATATTCTTCCTTCAAAAGATAGTCGGATATTCCACATGTGCGAGAGATGATGCAAGTTGGTAAGTTTGCCTTATGTATCCAAGCTGACATATCATCAGGATCCAACTCATTAGGGCAAATGCACCTCCCCAAGTAAGTGAAGTGGTCGACGCATTCCACCACTTCACTCCCTATCTTTAAACTGAGAGTAGCTGGATACCAGCACTGAAGTATTATCTTATATCTGGCAGAGGCTAATCGTATGTGAAAGATATTGAGATTTCTGCTCAACGCAGTCAGCGCCTTCACCTAGTAGGATGATGTCATCTACGTACTCCAAGTGAACCAGAAGGCCTTCGTGGAGTAGATCAATCCATGTGAAGTCAGACGTACCTAGGGTTCTACCCATTATTACATCTACAGTGAAGTTAAACAGGAACTGTGACAGTGGACATCCCTGGCGGATACTACTGTTTGTCGTCATTGTGAAAACAATTGTAGTGACATCAGTCATCACAGCCTCTCATGTTTAAGCTAGTATCGCTCCACGTTGTAATCAGAGTAAGCTTGAATGAGGTTTCTCGTATCAATCAGTTTGGTTGACGCTAAAATCCAATGATGTTTCCCAACCTTTTAACATAAGTTACCAACTGCTACAACCGCGGTTTCTACAGTACACTGAATACCACCCCACACTTAATCAGGAAGAAGGTTGCTGTCATGTTCAAACAAATACGCAGTTATATCCTCCACTGAAATGTGATTGACATGATCGTCTCTCACTTCTCCCATCTCTCGATAACATTTCAAACTCATGAAAAAGCATACCTGATTTCCTTACACCACTCTCTAAACCACAGATCGGAGCTTTCAGTATCCGTACACTCCGCCAAATCGGCCAACAAGCTTCGCTAGCGAAAACTTTGGCATCTCAGGCCATGAATGTGTGCTGTGTTTGTGAGACAAGCGTGAAGGATCCAGGTGTGGTAATTCACTTAACCTCACCCGACCATTATGGTGGATCTACAAAATTCACCCTTCGAGTTTCGGGAAATACGATGGCCAATTCTCGCGGTCTTCCAGGCAAAGGTATGGCAAGGTATAAAGCGCATTCCTCTACTGCATCCCAGTTGATACTCACCTATGCGCTGCTCGAATGAACGCTGCACTGATGACTAAGAAGAATAGTGAAACTTTCCGTCGTCTCATTGTAATCACTGCTTATGCAGCCACTGACTACAGCTCAGACGAAGTGAGGAGTGAGTTTATCCGAAAAGTGTCTAGCTTCCCTCTGAAAGCCAAACATTCAGATACAGTTGTTGTTACAGGGGATTTCAATGCACAAGTGAGTAGGCGAAATCAGGGCGAAAGTCACCCAGGCGGCAATTTCGGAATCCTAGTTGAAAGAATAGTTAACGTCGATCAACTGCTTAAACTCTACTCAAGCAATCTTCTAGTTCTAGCCAGCTCGAAAGTCAGATGTGAAGAGAGACATTTTCTGGCATGTCATTCAACACCCTGAGATAAACCGTATTGTTATCAGTTATGGCTGGAGGGGGTTTATGGAAGATTGTCACTCCTTCTGGTCCACGTCTTTTGACAAAGTCCATGCGTTAGTTCGAGCGTGCGTTTGTGCTTACGTCTAGATGGACGTAAAAAGGCTACGGCAACTAGGTTATTATGAGTGAAGCTCATTAAATGCAACAGTAGGGATGCTTACAGTGGGAAGCTGGCAGGGCAGTTATTGGAGAAAGCCTGGCGTAGCGCAATCTCCAGTGTGCTGTTAAAACAGCGTTGAAGACCGTAGCTGACTCTCAGAAAGTGTTTGGAAAGAGCCAGTGAAGCTCAGCAGCTTCTTCTGAATAAATGCATGCAGGCTCTGAGCACAATGAGGGGTGATGGGAAACAACTCGAATGTACACTGGCAGTAAGTCTACGTAATGATTGAGAACAGAGAAGTCTAAAGAGATAGAAGAGGCAACGGTGATAGGTTACAGTAGATAGCTATTTGGAATTATCAATGGGAGTGGGGCTAGAAGATCAGTGTGTAAGTGGGACAATATATATACAGTACAGAGAGAGATGAGTTTGTGATTCACTCACACGAGAGATGACTAGAATGATGTGGCGAACGGTTTGTGGAACAGTCCAACTGGCCTCCAACTTCTATTTTTTTGTCCGCTATCCAGTCGAATCCTGAATGGAAAATTGATATAGACCCTCCAACTCCTGGCGAAGTTGAGGAGGTTGTAGTTGATCTGACACGAGGAAAAGTAGCAGGGCCATATAGGCTAGTATGGGAGTTAATTTAGGGATGGTGGTGGACGATTGCTGGTGTGATTAATTGAAGAAACCCATGGCGTTGTATCTCACTTAAAGGGATCCTGTGTGAATAAATCATTCCGTTGTAGGCTTTGTTCTCGAATGCTTGTGGGTGTTTTTTAGCCAGCGGTTAGTTATCATATAAGTTATGTTTGTTAAGTGGTACCCGTTAAGTGTGTCTCGCCTCAGCATTTTTATTTGGTATTTTCATGAGAATACTTATCGAGGTCTCCTTCGTCGTCTGACTTTTGAGAAATTGATCTTGTCACAGAAAAATCCTTAGTACACGCACAGTTCGCAGATGACATTATCCTGTTAGGTGAAGACGCTGACAAGATGCAATTTTCTGGATGCCCTGAGTGACAGGTTGAGAATATGTGGGATGCTTTTCTCTCCACCCTAATGCAAATCTTTGCTACACGACATGTCTTCAGTGGTGCCCTGTTTAACAATAGGAAGTGAATTGGCTGAGTGCACTGAATACTTCACTAACCTGGGAAGTCGAAACCGTCCCTGATGGGTCAGTGAGCGATGAAATCTCGGCACAAATACAAAAGTAATTTCGGTACACAGCGATAGTGTTATTTACTTGATGACGTTTTGAGCATAAACTACCACTCAATCATATCAGGGTAATCACACTACTTTCGACATCTGATTTTGATAGGTCTGTCACTTCATATACTTTGATACAGATACAAAAAAGTGCTTGGTTTTCCTCAAATTGTGTCATCTGTGGCGCCGCTGTGATTTCCGATTGACTCTTCACTTCGCTCTGTTGTACTGTATAGATCTGAAACATGGCCATTAAAGATATAGGACACAAGAAGACTTCCATATTCAACCACCGTTGCCTTCATAGCAAAGGCTAAAGTAACATCTTGCTAATGGCGTTTTTAGTACTATACAATAAACAGATAACTTCTATCTTTCACTTTCTATAACTACGTCTTAAAAATACACAGAAGTATGCAGCTGCTTGTTGCGCAATCAAACATCTCATTGATGACAGAGATGACGTGGATTAAAAATACAAACGAGGCTTGTTGCGTCTGTTTCGAGATGTCATCAGAAACCAACCCCTAAGACTGATGCAAATTAGTTGGAAGACACTGTTTTGTGTCATGATCCTGCCGAATATAAACCGATACCCAATTTAGAAGTTAGATTTTCACCTTAGAACTTGGTATCATTCCTGTACGTACTAAATATAGAAAATCAAACATAGATTACTGGATGTGGGGTAGTTAGTCAGGCTTATCTGCAGATTTAGCTAGCTAGATCATAGTTGTCTAAACACCTTATTGCCATTTCCATCGTTTTGGTGCTGAGCCCATCAGCGGTGTATCTGGATAAATTCAGTTCATAGAGCCGAATTAGTCCAGGTACACCGCTGATGAGCTCGAACGAGCGGAACGAGTCGTCCGGTGTTTAAATCACTCTGATCTGGCTGGTGAACTCTACAAACTAGTCCGAGTGGTTTCTTAATACTCAAGTTATTCACAAGTATATTTCGCAAAGCTGAGTATTTTTTCTGGAAAGTAGATGCGTTCCATGGGTTCGAACCTGGGAAAGTAAACGCTTAATAAGTGTTAGTTGTAGCAGCTTTTGAAACAACTCTGTTGAAGTGGATAGAACTGCATCAAGATGAAGAACGCAGCGAATTTAAAAGGAGCTACTAATTATAATGTACGGCTGATGCTCCTAGGTCGCCTAAAAGTTTTTGGCAGATATCTTTTAGAAATACGCGAACAAGTGAGCAGATTTATTTCACTTGAGTTCAAAAGTTATCTGATCGACATCTTTTGTACATGACCCTTCCAGCTGTTCTGTATTTGAAGAGTTGATTTGGATTTCTAAGGCACAGTTTATCAATAACGGAGGATCATGGAGCTACGTGTAGGATCAAAGTTTTAAAGATGTTCCTTTCTAAGTAAATATTTTCCTGATGGAAAAGTAAAGTAACCGGGATTTTACCTTATTACCGTCACATCCTTATTTTTTTAGCGGAGAAGCCATGCATCCTCCGAAAGCAATTACACTGAAAAGTCTTACACTACGATTTTTCATACTTATAGTCTCCTACTTTTAAACCAATGTGTTCTGGTATGATGAAACCCTGTCAAACAATCATTTTAGCCAGCATAGCCTGATAAGTCCATTGAAATAGTGAAACCTGACCGTAGCGCTACACTTTTGGCTGTTGGTCAAGGCAATGGTTAATCTCGAGGGAGACAGCTTTTGCCTGATCGTGTGTTCCCCCTTCTATTATATGTTGGTGGAGAGGGGTGGAAATTAGGTTTAAAACTTGTAAAACCAACCAGCACAGTTTCTTCTATTCACAAATTCACGTATATCACTGTATTACTAACGTTATTAAAATTCCTTTTTGTGTATTTGATCAGTGTTCCTTTTTGGTTAACACCAGAGTTTATTTCCTTCTCGAAAGATGACTGATCCCGTTCTTAAGCTGTCCTTTAGGCAAGTATTGTTTATGTCATCATTTATTTTTCTGTCATTATATGTTCCAATCAATTGCTGTAATGTTGTTAAACCTGAACGTATAACATATCGGACTTTTAGATGGTGAATATTGCACATAGGTAATTGTTTGAAATTCTGAATTACTTGTAGTAGCATGATGATATCTGTCTGGCATAATGGTAAATACCACTGCTATTAACATATATAAATATAAATTAAATTAATTCCTGCAGATTTTTACAAATTTGTTCTTTTACGTCCTAATTTCTCCTAGTTGCCTTCATCGAATGACTCAAAACCAAATGGTGAATTATCTTCCAGTTTATATGGGTTCGGAGCTATTTTACTGGCTTCAGTCACCAGTGGATTTGCTGGAGTTTACCTTGAAAGAGTGTTTAAGGGGACACCAACTTCTATATGGATGCGAAATCTCCAGTTAGGTGAGTTACAAACTATTCTTTTTACAACTGGCGGTAATATGCTAATGGTTTTGCTAGATAGTTATCAGATCTTTTTTACGCTGACTATAATCTACCCACTGATGTTTTTCGATGTGACTATCAATATAAGTTGTACTTTATTAATTTTTTGATCAGAAAATTACTTTTTTAACAGAATAATTAGAATGCAAATCGGTAACTGACTATCTTTACACTAAATAATGCAAAAAGTGCGTTAGAAATAGTCATAAGGAAAATGTATTTTACTTTGGTATACTGTTTCCTATGTGATTTACAAGTGACACATATATTTTCGACGAATTCTTTCTTGAAAACATTGAGTTACCTGAAGAAGGATTAGTGCGTGACCGTGGAGTCCAATGGGGATATCTGCTTGACGCTGGTCACACATGGGCCTTTTAGAAGTTTGGGTCTCAACACTTTACCTTTGAGTCTGACTATGACTAACAGGCCGTGGGCACGGATATACTGCAAGGTGGAACAGAGTCTGTCATTTTTAGGGCCCACCATTTCTCCCCCCTTCCAATAGGGAAGGTTATCCAGGTATTTTTTGAATCTAAACGATTATTGATAGCATAAAGCCCAACCCATTCGTTGACGTAGGTAGGAAGATATGATACATTGTGTATCTGTAATCCTCAGTTTTACAATCGGATAGCATCTATGATCATGGTCGGTGAACGCACTTCTCTGTAGTGTACCATACTATACTTTCTCACTCTGACTGTTACTTTTTGACTAATCTCTCATAGTCATCAGAATAAGCGAAACCTGCATGGTTTCGTTTTCCTAGTCCACTTCAGGAGTGTTCACGTACAAAATCACTTGTCTAGCTACATAGCTGATATTCGTTTTCTATCCGTCACTTTTGCATTTTTCATTGATTTAATTCAGAAAAAATACCGTGATTTATGGTGATAATTTTCGTTTCACCAGTTTGTTAAGTAAAAAAAGGGAATTGTAAGTTTAAAATGCTGAATTTGTAGTTTGTACGCATGAAATCAATATTATTAGTTAGACAATTTAGAGTATGCAAACTGTGTTGAATAAGTCTTCTATAGGGGAGTATAATAAAGTAGACTAGGGGGAATTACAATCGACCGTAGTCCCCAAGTTTTACTCCTCTGTAGACGAGGGGTTTATTTCTTGATATAATAGAGTTATTTCTTACTGACTTGAAGGCTAGACTTTTAAATTGAATAGCTGGTTCGAGTTCCACCTCACTTTACCTTATTGAGGTTAGCGACTTTTAAGACCATCCTAGCAACTGCTGATATAACCAATCATTCTTCTATATTTTATGAAAAACTACCTTTCTAGCCGGAATACCGAAACCTGGTTGATGATTATAGCAGTTGACAGAGTGGCTTTCAGGCAATATAATCGACTCTTACCCAGTAGTCCTCGTGCTCTTGTGTTTGAATGTGTCGCTAGTTACTGGATAACATTCCTTTTTATCCCTACTTTGCTCAGTTAATACTTAGTAATATTAAATAATGTGAAAGACAAAGGTTTAACTACATTCAAACCAATTAAACTTTTTGCTTTTTTTAAAGTAGCTCATAGGCTTGTATACTTTCCACGACTGAATGCTGAGAATATTAATGAGCTTCATAAATTATTAGTTATTACCTTCTATCGAAACCTCTGCATAATATCCTTTTCTTCGTTAGCTAATGTGACTTTGGAAATCGATAGTTACCCCTCTAGTTTTGATCTCATATGTTTCTCTTGTCTAATTACCTCTGACAGCCAAACATCCTGGTCATTCTTATTCAAACTTTCCTCGTACTGGCCACATCACAAAAATAGTAGAAAATCTATTATTTTCAGCTGTTTCTTAAAAATAACATGATATCAGACGGACAGATCAGTATGGAACCTGCTACAAAAGTGCATCGGTAAACGTTGCCACAATTCACATCAGTATGCAAGGAAAACGTGTATAAAAAGTGATAATAAAGTAGACAGATGTGTATGAAGAGATGCAAGAAATAGTTGATAGTTAACAAAATGATCAAGAAATTGTAGATGAAAAAAAACTGTATATATCTGCTTCATTGTGACTGATTTTCAGTCATGTCACCAAGGGCCTTCAGCGATCGATTCCCGAACTACACTTCTCACCATGGTTCAGACCAGCAGTCAGTGACTTAATGGATTGGTGCCTTGTTTTTGTCTGGCCACCGGTAACCTTCTTCCAATTCAGCTCTACTTTGGTTAACATGACACGTCGAGGTATCCAGTGGCTTGACATGCGCAGTATGTTCAAGCTACCTCAGTCAGTGGAGGTTGACAACCTCATTGACTTCTTTCGCCTAATGTCGACATTGCTCACATAATGATTTCATCATCAGCAATGCTACGAAGATACCTGTTGTTTAAAGCCTGTAATCGCTCATGCCTGGCGAACAACGTCAGTATAGTCACTTCGAATAACATCTCCCTACAAGCCCTCACGCGGCTGCCTGAGTTTGAGTAGAGAACTTTTGGTTAGTGCAATACACTTCCAGTACTCACTTGACAGTTAGACACTTCCACAACACCTCTCATTCGAAAGAGTCAAGAAATATGGCTAACGTTGATCACTGTTAAGTATGCCTGTGTTCCAGAACCTGTCTAAACGCGGAAATTCATTTAGTGGGATAGCACACAGACGTCTGTGAACCAAGATCAAGTTTAAAAGTTCACTTTCTGCCCGAGAGCTTAATGCCACTGCAAAGTCCTCTTGAATCTCCGGACACTCATAAAGTGAATTTTCACTGCATTGGCCAGGTGATGTCAAGTGAATAACCACTCCTGGATCCTGTTTGTGTCTCCCAGTAACAGCATACATCGAGGACTCGAGTTTTCAGGCGTTTGGTTGAAGATTCATGTTTTCAGGTTTACCGTAGGGTTCTAGCTCTGAGAGGTTCAGTGCGAAATTGACAACATGGTCTTGGAAGACTAAGAATGGTGTTCTACTTCTTCAGTCTTACTGGATTCTTTCCGTGATTAGTGTCAGCCTTCTTTAATGACAAAGTGACGGAATCAAAGTATATAAACAAGATCTTGTTAATGAATAAGTATCCAGTAAAATTCATCCGCAAGATAGAGAATAATATTCAACTAGGTTGTGAACTAATCCCGAATCTTCGGCCGCAAAACAGACATTCCCCACAAGTCACATATCTCGAGTGAGAACAGGGGTGTTTATTCAGCAAATCCTATATTCTACAGAACACCAAACTTACTGCGGAGCAAAATTAGTCCTTGTAAAAGACAAAACTTCCTTGGATTCACAATCTGACAGCGTTTATACGGTCTCGCACATGCTTTTCGATAAATCACAATCAATAATGTTGGAAAAACAGGAAGTTAATATTTCACTAGAACATTATGTATAGTCACTTGTACGGAGAGAGAGAGATTTTACCATTGAACCTCGAATTCAAGGAAGACAGTGTGGCAGATGCACTTAAAAAAAGACTATCAAGATCCCTAACCTCGCCTGGTTAACTAGTACACTACTAACTAGCCGGCCCTAAGCCCGGATAAACAGGAAAGTTTCGGCATAGGCCTAGCAACTCGACCCCGGAAAAGCAATCCAATCGCTAAAGAAACTTCAAAGCACAAAAATATATACAAAATAAAAATAAACTTCTCCCCGCTGGAATCAGGGAGACGAAGTGTCGCCAGATTGCAAACCGAATGAGAAGATATAGTATAGGAGTGCTTGGGATCTTCGGGGAATCTGCAGATGGAATGGAAGTGGACTCTTCAAACTCTTAACTGGAGAGTCAATAATCTACTCCGATATTATCACCCAGACAACAGCCACGAGCACACTGAGTTTTCGAGTGGCTATCATGATGTTGCCAAGAGCAGCAAAGGCTCTCATGCAGTGAGAACCAATCTACTCCACAATCATGACAGCAAGATTCAAATCAAAAGGAACGAAAGTTACAATCATACAATGCTACGCTACGCACCTACAAATAATGCAAACCAAGAGAAGAAGAAGGAGTTCTACAGACAATTGCAATCAGTGATAGACAAGATCCCAGACGGCGACAGAGACATCAAAATTCTAATGGGTGGGGTGACATGAATGCCAAACTGGGAGCAGACAAGACAGGAAGAAAACTCATCATGGGTCTAGAGACACTTGGTGAAATGAATGAGAATGGAGAACTGTTTGCAGGCTTCTGCGCATTTAATGGCTTGGTGATTCGAGTGAGGCAGTGTGTACAAACACAAGGATATTCACAAAGCCACATGGATTTCACCAGATGGACATACTAAAGACCAGATCGACTTCATTTCAATCTCAAGGAAGTGGAGATGCAGCCTACTGGACACAAGATCAGATCAAGAAGGGGAGCAGATGTAGGTGATTTGCACGACTCACTATCTAGTGCAAGGAACCTGCACTCAAAATCAAGTCTAAAGCCTTCACAGAAGTTGGTGATGATAGACCGCAGTTCAAGTCCAACACCTAGGACAGAAACTGAACTGAAGGACGGAACTACAAAGGACATCTTCACGTCAGTCGGTCAGTCAGTCAGTGATCAGGAAAAAGTGGGAGACATTGAGCAACATTCCTGAGGGAACCTGCGTGGAAGAACACTGGAACTCTGTGAAAGAGATACGTGGAAGGAGACCTACATAAACATGTTAGGAGGGAAGAGGAAATAAGACAAGACAAAGGATGGATCTCGAAGGATACATGGAAGCTGATAGAGCAGGGAGAAGAAGACGGTGATGCTGATGGTGAAGCAGAAGATGAACCAATGCAGTGCAGTGTAGTGCAAGGGTGAACAACGAAAAAAGAACCTGCATACAACCTATAAAACACTGGACAAAGAAGTGAAGAAGAGTGCGCGCAAAGACAAAAGACACTTCTACGACACATTGGCAAGTGAAGCAGAACAGACTGCAGGTAAGAGAGACAGAGATCAGACAACACCACATCAACTAACCAGGTTACTTGCTGTCTGGGAGGGAAGAGATCAACTAAGATTAAACCAATGAGAGATAGTGAAGGAAGCCGGTTGCCACCAGAGAGGGAAAACAAAGGGAACAACGTACTGACCACTTCAAAAAACTCTTGAGACAACAGCGGGCATGCTCATACCACTATTACACAAGGTTTGGAGGGAAGGAAGGATACCTGCCCACTGACTGGAAGAATGGCTACCTTGTCAAACTTTCAAAGTCTTTGCAAGAACTGGCGCAGAATCATGCTCCTATCCACACTAAGAAACGATTAAGCCGCATCATCCTGGAGAGACTAAAAGATGCACTGGATTCAAAATTACCACCGAAACAGGCTGGCTGGCTGGCTGGCTTCAGGAAGAACAAATCATGTATGGATCGCATCGCTACGCTACGCATCATCATAAAACAGAGTATAGAATAGCAGTCAACTCTCTACCTCAACTTCATCGACTCTGAAATGACCTTCGACAGCGTCGACCGAGAATTAATTTGGCAGGTAGCTGCTTCAACACTACGGTTTTGGTGCCACAAACCTTTATCAACCTCATTCAACAACTATATGACGACGCCACATGCCAAGTGATTCACAATGGAAAGTTGTGATGCCTTTGAAGTGAAGACAGGAGTAAGACAAGACGAGGCTGCTTACTATCACCAATTATCTTCATGATTGTGGTGGACTGGGTCATGAAGCAAACTGTGAGGAGCGAGAAGATGGGCATATGCTGTTTGACCGATGGAAAGACCCTAGAAGAAGATTTGGATTTATGTCTGATGTCACACAAACTCGATGATCTACAGGCAAAAACCAACAAGTTGACAAAACAGGCAGCGCTGTGCAGCGCAACGCAACGCAACGCAGCGAAGACGGGACTTCAAGTGAGTGTAGAGAAGACAGGTGATGAAGATACCCAACCGACAACAACAACAACAACAACAAGTACCAATCACCATCAACGGGAGAAACCTAAAGGAAGTAGTCTCTTTCACCTACCTAGGCAGCATCGTTTCAACTACAGACGGCACAGATGAGGTTGTCAAAGCCAGGATCGGTAATGCAGCAAGATAAGCCTTCATTAATCTGAAATCAGTGTGGAGATCTACTGCACTGCACTCGGCATGAAGCGTGAACAAGATCCGGATTTTCAACACTAATTCAGTCAAGTAATTCAGTGTTGCTATATGGTTCAGAAACTTGGCGCGTTACGAAAAGCATTTCCAACAAACTACAGACATTCGTCAGCATCTGCCACCTACGCTCACTCGACACTGAAGATCAGATGGCCAGAATGATAAGAATAAGGAACAAGGAACTCACTCTGGCCGGGTTTGGAGGGAAGGAAGGATACCTGCCCACTGACTGGAAGAATGGCTACCTTGTCAAACTTTCAAAGTCTTTGCAAGAACTGGCGCAGAATCATGCTCCTATCCACACTAAGAAACGATTAAGCCGCATCATCCTGGAGAGACTAAAAGATGCACTGGATTCAAAATTACCACCGAAACAGGCTGGCTGGCTGGCTGGCTTCAGGAAGAACAAATCATGTATGGATCGCATCGCTACGCTACGCATCATCATAAAACAGAGTATAGAATAGCAGTCAACTCTCTACCTCAACTTCATCGACTCTGAAATGACCTTCGACAGCGTCGACCGAGAATTAATTTGGCAGGTAGCTGCTTCAACACTACGGTTTTGGTGCCACAAACCTTTATCAACCTCATTCAACAACTATATGACGACGCCACATGCCAAGTGATTCACAATGGAAAGTTGTGATGCCTTTGAAGTGAAGACAGGAGTAAGACAAGACGAGGCTGCTTACTATCACCAATTATCTTCATGATTGTGGTGGACTGGGTCATGAAGCAAACTGTGAGGAGCGAGAAGATGGGCATATGCTGTTTGACCGATGGAAAGACCCTAGAAGAAGATTTGGATTTATGTCTGATGTCACACAAACTCGATGATCTACAGGCAAAAACCAACAAGTTGACAAAACAGGCAGCGCAGTGCAGCGCAATGCAACGCAGCGAAGACGGGACTTCAAGTGAGTGTAGAGAAGACAGGTGATGAAGATACCCAACCGACAGCAACAACAACAACAACAAGTACCAATCACCATCAACGGGAGAAACCTAAAGGAAGTAGTCTCTTTCACCTACCTAGGCAGCATCGTTTCAACTACAGACGGCACAGATGAGGTTGTCAAAGCCAGGATCGGTAATGCAGCAAGATAAGCCTTCATTAATCTGAAATCAGTGTGGAGATCTACTGCACTGCACTCGGCATGAAGCGTGAACAAGATCCGGATTTTCAACACTAATTCAGTCAAGTAATTCAGTGTTGCTATATGGTTCAGAAACTTGGCGCGTTACGAAAAGCATTTCCAACAAACTACAGACATTCGTCAGCATCTGCCACCTACGCTCACTCGACACTGAAGATCAGATGGCCAGAATGATAAGAATAAGGAACAAGGAACTCACTCTGGCCGGGTTTGGAGGGAAGGAAGGATACCTGCCCACTGACTGGAAGAATGGCTACCTTGTCAAACTTTCAAAGTCTTTGCAAGAACTGGCGCAGAATCATGCTCCTATCCACACTAAGAAACGATTAAGCCGCATCATCCTGGAGAGACTAAAAGATGCACTGGATTCAAAATTACCACCGAAACAGGCTGGCTGGCTGGCTGGCTTCAGGAAGAACAAATCATGTATGGATCGCATCGCTACGCTACGCATCATCATAAAACAGAGTATAGAATAGCAGTCAACTCTCTACCTCAACTTCATCGACTCTGAAATGACCTTCGACAGCGTCGACCGAGAATTAATTTGGCAGGTAGCTGCTTCAACACTACGGTTTTGGTGCCACAAACCTTTATCAACCTCATTCAACAACTATATGACGACGCCACATGCCAAGTGATTCACAATGGAAAGTTGTGATGCCTTTGAAGTGAAGACAGGAGTAAGACAAGACGAGGCTGCTTACTATCACCAATTATCTTCATGATTGTGGTGGACTGGGTCATGAAGCAAACTGTGAGGAGCGAGAAGATGGGCATATGCTGTTTGACCGATGGAAAGACCCTAGAAGAAGATTTGGATTTATGTCTGATGTCACACAAACTCGATGATCTACAGGCAAAAACCAACAAGTTGACAAAACAGGCAGCGCTGTGCAGCGCAACGCAACGCAACGCAGCGAAGACGGGACTTCAAGTGAGTGTAGAGAAGACAGGTGATGAAGATACCCAACCGACAACAACAACAACAACAACAAGTACCAATCACCATCAACGGGAGAAACCTAAAGGAAGTAGTCTCTTTCACCTACCTAGGCAGCATCGTTTCAACTACAGACGGCACAGATGAGGTTGTCAAAGCCAGGATCGGTAATGCAGCAAGATAAGCCTTCATTAATCTGAAATCAGTGTGGAGATCTACTGCACTGCACTCAGCATGAAGCGTGAACAAGATCCGGATTTTCAACACTAATTCAGTCAAGTAATTCAGTGTTGCTATATGGTTCAGAAACTTGGCGCGTTACGAAAAGCATTTCCAACAAACTACAGACATTCGTCAGCATCTGCCACCTACGCTCACTCGACACTGAAGATCAGATGGCCAGAATGATAAGAATAAGGAACAAGGAACTCACTCTGGCCGGGCAACGAGCCAACTAAGAACCCATCGCGCAACAAATATACAGAATAAAGTGGAGATGGATTGGATGGGGCATACGCTCACTGAGAAGACCATTTGGGGACATCACGCGTCGGGTGAGGCCGTCGAGTGGAATCCAAATGGGAAATGACGAGTTGGGCGTCTGAGGCGAGGATGACATGGAGGATATCATGTGAGGAAGAAATGAAAGGTTGTGGGCAGTCGTGAAGCCCGGTCCGAAAGACTGCAGAGAAGAGAGTGTAATGGAGACATGCTAATGAAGCCTTATGTTTCACTAGGAACCCTACGGAAAAATGAATAAATGATGATAATCAAGATCCGAAAACGCATGATTTTTCGGCGCAAACCTTACAATCGTATTCTCCTGCCAGAAACACATTCATCACTATGCAGAGTATAACCTGGAGCATCGTGCCACCTCAGTATATGCATAGTAGTTTACTTGCTCCCGTGGAACTGAGTAAATCGTCTGTACGATGCGCCAGCTTAGCGAGCACGCACGCGAATACTACTCGATTTGGCTGGCTAGAGGATAACAGAAACGCATCTTTGGTTCTGTAACAGAACATTTGGCTCGTTTCTATGACTCATTCAAAATTTTGTGCAACGTGCAACCAATGCAATCAAAGGGTGCAAGGTCAAGACACCGAACCGCTTAAGCATTTGGGATTCAAAAGTTCAAACCATCACCACGCATTGAAGAGAAGTATGTGCAATCCGTTTCTATACCACGACCACCACAGACTATCGATCGCTGTAGATAATTCTCATATGTTGACTACTTTTATTTGGTAATTATATTATTACCCTTATTTTAAACACCTGTAGATATCAAGTAACTTTCCTTTGATCGGAAATAACTATGGAGTGCTACCGTTTCTACCATATATTCACGAATGTACAGCTAAGAGAATGATTTAGTCGAAACGAAAAAATTTTCCTCGCTGCAATCGTCTTCCGTGTTTTTCTATAATCAGATAGGTTTGTTTCGATAAATAGAACAATATCATGTTTCCTTATAGCTGCTACCTGGGCATAGTGGTACCTTGAAAAGACAACTTCCACTATCTTTTGGTAAATCACAAATACGAAAATGCTGCTGTTTTTTTCTTTTAAATCAATCGAGACGTTTAATTACCACTAGTCATAAGTGTACCACAGAAATAAAACCTTACATATACACACACTACTCGTTTGCGTAGTTACGACTTGTTCGTCTTTTATTTCAGCTCTTTTTGGTGTACCAATTGGTCTTCTTGGCGTTTTTATCAATGATGCCTCTAAGATCAACTTGGAAGGATTTTTCTACGGTTATACACCCATTGTTTGGATTGTTGTTCTCCTTCAAGCATTCGGTGGACTGGCGATAGCATTCGTGATGAAATATGCGGACAATATTTTGAAAAGCTTTTCTATGGGTCTATCTGTTATTTTATCAACGTTTGTATCTTATTTTATCTTTGATGACTTCACACCAAACAGGTAATTTCGAGTGCGTATGATACTTTCCATTCAGCCGTAATATGTAAACGAGTCTGTAACCAATATTCAATCAGAAGTAAGATATCTGACTGCAGCACCGAGTGATGCATGTTCGAATCCTTGGGAGAAGTATCATTTTCTCGTTGCAGATATCATTTTCCTGATGAGTGCTAGCTTCAGGGCCTCTATTTATTATTGCGAAATAACTATCAGTAATCATAGTTGTTTCTTGCAACTTTGTGTTTGTTAATGGTCTTTCCCTAGTTGAATTCTCACCTATACTACTGAAGAGAAGTCTAATGGGACGACAGGGATTGTTCATTGGAAAACTAAAATCATTATTAAACCTTACATTGAAGTATCCATTGGTAAACATCCTCCTTCTTGGCATTCCAGAGAGCAGTATTCTCGCTCTCTATATTTGTACTTCATCATATTTCTTCTTCGTTCTAGAATCTTCATCTGGCGCTCGCTATCTTTCCTCGTTTTCCGATGTTTCTGTATCTACTACTGATACACATTCCTCGAAATAGTGTTCGCCACTCTAAACTTTATCTTCATCTATCTGATTAGTAAAATGAAACCCCATTATGTAAATAACAAAATACCTAGGCCAGATCAGTTAACAATGTAAGCTTTTATAAGACAACTTCCTGTTTGTTGAAGATCTTCCAAAATGTGAACAACCCTTTCTAAGCATTAAGACAGAACGTAGTAGCAACTGTGCATAAAACCATGTAGTTTGTTAGCACGAGGTGCCGCAGTGATGCAAGAACATCTTATTGCCTGTCTACTTGTTGCCAAGTATGAATACTTCTGCTTATTATACATTATTCATTTGTTTCCTTGAATATATTGGATAAAACTCTCGAGTAGCAATGCAAGATAGACAAAATCAAAGTAGGACGTCGCATAGAAGTACATCGGTTTAAGTTGACACTTTACAGCAGCATTCAACAAAGTGGACAGAAAAAGACTGACATCATTCTCAGTCATGTCACCATAAGTTCGCGAACATTGATTCCTATGGCCTCGAGGACTCCAATCAGGTAGTCTACACCCCCATACACGGTTAAAGCTAACAGTTGGTGACTTCATGGACTGGTGCTGCGTCTCGGTCTGACCAACCTAATCAAACTTCTCTAAGCGCTGGGCTTCAAAGTAAGCAGTGGCTCGGTATGCGCAACGTATATCCTAGTCACCTTGGTCAGTGAACGTTGACAGTCTCACCGCCTGACTTGCTTTGCTCACCTAACATGTTCATCGCTCACGTGCTGATTTTTACACATATGAGCAATACTACGAAAACATCAGTGGTCAAAAACCTATGGTCTCTTCATATCTTATACTTTCAAAAGGCATGTCCCATAGGACAAAACGGATGGTATTGAAGTATCCTCGTCCTTTGATAGCTGGTCAGATATCTCACCAGCATCTGAAACCACGCAAATTGGCAAACGAATTTTGTGTCCAGGCTGAGGTTCGTCAGAAACCAGAACGCTCGCCTGATAAAATCGCTCAGGTAAGTGAAGTGGTCGACGTATTCCGCCACCTAACTTCCCCATCCATAAATTGGAAGCAAACCCTGGAGCATCACCAGTCCACGAAGACTCTGACTGTTGGTTTGAGCTGTGCAGGGTGTAGACTACCAGGCTGGAGCCTCCGCGATGGTGCGAACCAGTGGTTGAAGACTAAGATATATGGCAGAAAACCGGTCACAAGTCCATCCATCCAGATCAACCTAGGACCAGGCATCACTGCGTAACGGTCCGAGTTGCCACAGCTCATATCACCACATCAATTAAAAAGGCAGTGAGGTGCAAGATAAAGATAAGAAAATGCAGTCGGAAGAAATATAAAGTATGAAAAGAGAGAAACGAGGAATGAGAAAGTGGTGAGATTCGGCATAGCATCGTTAAGATGAGGATAGTGTATGTATACATCTGCGCCACTGACATCGTTTCTGAGCCATATCACCTAGAGTCTCCAATCACTGATTCCTCTTGTCCCGCGGGCCCCAACCACTTAGTCTGCATCGTCCACATGGCTCAAACCAACAGTCAGAGACTTCATACATTGGTGCCATGTTTTAGTCTGGCCACCTCGGGCCTTTTGCCAGCCCGATATACAATTACTCGGCACGCCTTTCAGTGAGAGACATTGCCATAAGACTTCTCGATCAACGGAGTCGAATGCCGCCGCCTTCAGATCGAGAAATACAGCCAGCGTCGGGCATCGGTAAGCGTGCCTGTGTTGCAGAGCCTGGCGCAGTGTGAATACTTGGTCGATACATCCGCGGCCAGGTCTAAAGTCTACTTGGTTTTCTTGGGCTTGTTGTTCACGGGCTCCACTCAGGCGTCGATGAATTATGGAACCTATAATTTTGGACACTATGTTCGTCAGGTTGATTCCTCTATGGTTATCACAAGAGGACTTCTCGCCTCTCTTGAAGACTGGGATAATCAGTGACTTAGACCAGTCAGAGGGGGTCGTATTTGATTCGCATATCCTAGTTAACACTTCCGTTAACCTGACTCAGAGCACCCCACCACCATTCTTGTATACCTCAGGAGTTAGTCCGTTTGGTCCTGCTGCCCTTCCTCGTTTCAGGTTACCTACCGCTTTCTCGACTTCTGCTAGTGTCGGGGGGCCTGTCTCTATGACCCATTCAGGGTCCGACTGGATAGCAAGCAGCGCAATGGTGACTGAAAGCCAGTTAAACTGTTCCTCGAAGTGTTCTACCCATCGTTCCAGTCGTCTCTTCTGCGAGTGAATCGCAGATCCGTCCTTCTCCGCTGTGGTCTCACTAACCGCAGTCGACCTTTTCCCCGCCAGTTTCCTTAATAAGTCTAAATATCTGTTTACTGTTACCAGTCGCCGCTGCCTTTTCCATCTCTTTAGCCTTTGCTGCCCACTACTGTTCACGGTCGTTGTGTAGACTTTTTCTCAGTCTACTTTTAGGTTGTGTCCGCTTTTCATTGTATTCAGAGCCTGCAGGGATGCGTTCACGTGCATCCATTGGTTCGGAGGAAGCTGCTGATATCCACTGGCTCTCTTGGGCCAATATTTTGGAGTCGGCTACGGTCTTCAGCGCTGCTTTTACGTCAGACTGAAGATGACAGTAAGCTTCTTCTGAGTGAGTGATAGTGTTGTGTTCCAATAACTGCCTAGCCTACTTCTCTCCCGTACTTCGCTGTCTTATTTGATATGTTTTTTTCTGTCCACTTGCTCTTTACACACTACTGTGAAGCGTGACAACTTGACCCGGTCTTTTTGTTCGGGGTTTTACGTTAATTTTGTCTGTGAAAATCTGATCGATGCATCCTCACCCAGGTCTGAAACCTGTCTAGTTTTGTCGAGCTCCAGTTAGGCATCGGTTAACTATCGACCTAAGGATCTTGGACACGATGTTAAACTGATTTCTCCAAGGTTGTCACAAGAAAACGTCCCTACCTTTTTATAGATCACAGTGGTCAGTGAAGTAGACCAGTTTCACCGGGCTACTTCTGATTCCCATACGCTACCTTTTACCTCACACACACCTTCGCCCTTAAAAGCTTCCAATGGGGAACCGTCAGGTCCTGCTGCTTTGCATCGTTTCGGGTTTGAAATAACATTCTAAACACCTGCTTCCTTTTCAAGTTCGGGTTGGTGTCTGAGCGACTGAAGCGTTGCTGTGAGTCAGTCAAACTGGACTTCAGTGTCCCGTCCAACGTCGTGTCTATCCTGAGGTTATCAGGGTCCCACTCTCTTCACCGACGATCTCACTAGCTGTCTTCTTCTTTAGACGTATTCTAACCAACAATAGACTAGATGGTTTGGAACATATCCTCTTCTCCTTGCTGCTATCGCTAATAAGCCTCAATACTTCCTGGGTATTAAGTAGTGTGATGCCTTCTCTCATCCACCACTGGTCGTGGTTATGTGAAGACTTTTCACCACTTTATGTTTAATCTGCTTCCAATCCTCACTGTGATCAGAAGCTGGAATGATTCCTGTCGTGTGAATCAGTTTAGATAATGTCGCAGAACTCTGTTGGTGTTTGTCCTTTATATCCACCTGTTTTTTGTGTACCTCTATGAAGTATGGCAACTTGGGCCGATGCACTCGTGTGCAAAGTTCTACGTTGGTTTTGTCATTCGATGATGTTTGCTAACTTTTCGATATGGGTTACCAACTTTTCTACAGTAAACTGAATATCACGCTCCACTTCGTCAGGATGAGAACTGCCACCAAGTTCACACAAACGCGCAGCTAACTCCTCTGTAAAGCACGTTTGATGTTCTCGTCTTCCAACCGAGCACTCACCAAGCTTCGCTGCCGCTTGTTTCCTGCGACTAGTAAGGCCCAGAGATACACGAGCCCTTATTAGCGCTTGGTCGGGGTCCAAACATACTCCAGAAAGAGCGGCAACGATTACTTATAACAAGGTATATTCTTCGGACAATTATAATATGTTCCATATAATATGAATCATACATAAGATATTCAACGCTATCTCCATCCAGTTACATGCGAAATTATTTTCACAAAAAACCACTTGTTAGGTGAAACGATTGCAACGTGTTGGGTGCTATTGAGATCATCTTATACTAGTATTTCTTAAACATTGTGCGTGTCATATGTCATGGATTCCCCAGAAAAGCCGGGGATTTCCTGAAAACCTTCATGACAACGGCGCGCCGAACATTCGCGAAGAACCACGGGACCATATATGTGAATCCAGCGACCCTCAAGGGGTTCAAGAGTTCATGTATATGGATATATATATCACTATGCATCAATATTGCAAGCATTTAAAACATATTCATCTGCAAAATAAATAACACCTTTTTCAACACTTGTACCAATCTATAGTGTCTACACTAATCCTTTTAGCTTAATAGCTTCGCTATTCTGTATACGATTTATGTTATTTTGTTTCTACCTACTCCGCTTTGTATTACTTAATTCCCAACTAGGTATTTATTCATTGGATCTACATTAGTAATTAGTGCAACAGTACTTTATGGTCTTCCAGCCAATCGTTGTAGCTCAGTGTCTGCGACGAGCTCAGATGCAAAGTTGAACTTCAATGAATGCTAGACTAAAAGTTATTACTTATCATATTGTAAAAATTATATTTTTATTCTGTATATTTCTTCGCTGGCGAAATTAAATGATTCTAAAAAAAGGATTTATGGTGTTGTACATGTGTGACCTGACTGAGTATACTGGGGAACAGTGCGTTCAGTATCATTTGTGTTATGATTATGAAACTTTGTATCATCCTTCTGGATTAATAGTGGTGCAGGTATGGAGCATTTCTCACATGCTGCTAAGGCTAACTGCTCCGCAGATTCCGGTGATTTACCATTGTCCAATTCGGAAAAATAAGTGAGCGTGAATGCCAGACCATCATGTGTCATATTATGAAGAGGATCTAAATCAGCCAATTCATTTCCCAAATCATCACCAAGTAAATCGACGGCTGGTGACGGATAAGAAAGGTTGCTAGCTTCCTGAAGTGGATGGCACCGAGGAGAATGCTGCGCTACGCTTAGTCCACTCAACGAATAGCAGGTGTGATATGGATCAGGATTTTTTCCAGGTTTGTCGATTAACCCGCCATCACAAGTAGATACATCAAACTCAGGGCTGGAACTTCTGTTTGCGGATGGTATTTCACTTGAAGAGTCATCTTTATGTACACTCAAACCTGGGCGAGTATACGAAACCTTCTGACAACACAACAGTATATATTCCTAAAACAAAGAGATAAGATTGTTAGTTAGTTGACCAGTAATATTATGGTTAGCTTGGGATAACACACTATCAGATGCCGGTAATTCGATCAGTTTATTGCAGGCACATATACCAATTACTCTTTCTTAACGACACCATATCTCGCAATAAGCAGAAAATATAATGACTTACGCATGTTACGATTAAAAAAAAGTCAAATAGTCACCTACTTCATAAATAATGACTGCTGAGTTCTTAGCTGCATGGGCTGTGTAATAGTCGAAGTAAATGGCTTTATCTGCTTGTGAAGATGAAAGATATAAAAGAAAACTTCAGTCATATTCATCGGTATAAAAACTGACAATGGTCGGCATATTTCGCGTTATCTAACATATGATAAAATCTTGTTTATCAGCCATGGGTTCCTAACAATGCTGTTGGTGGTATGAGTCCATCCCCTAACTTAGTCCAGCATTTCTTTCTACAACAATTTAAAACATGATTATCTTGTCGTTTTGCTTTTAACATAATCTTATCTAAAACATGGCTTAAGAATCATCAGACACCAACCATCACTGTAAACCAGATAGTATACCAAGTCGCCGTACAAATTACAAGGAAGCTATTCAGCAGGCACAACCCTTTCAACTATTTGAACTGCGTGATCACTGCTATGAGTTGATAATCCCACCACAATAAATCTTCATACACGGCTTAAATATGAAAGATGAGAACAAGGAACAAGGTAATTGAAACTACTAAAAACTCATAGGACGAAAAGGGAAGTCAACTGAAGTAACAACCAAGTTCGATGTGACGATTATTTTATTACCATTATTTGCCTTTCCGTTCCTTGTGGAACATACAACTTAAATTGCACGTCTCCATTCCACTCTCTTCTCTGCAGTCTTTCGGACCGGGCTTCACGACTGCCCACAACCTTTCATTTCTTCCTCACATGATATCCTCCATGTCATCCTCGCCTCAGACGCCCAACTCGTCATTTCCCATTTGGATTCCACTCGACGGCCTCACCCGACGCGTGATGTCCCCAAATGGTCTTCTCAGTGAGCGTATGCCCCATCCAATCCATCTCCACTTTATTCTGTATATTTGTTGCGCGATGGGTTCTTAGTTGGCTCGTTGCCCGGCCAGAGTGAGTTCCTTGTTCCTTATTCTTATCATTCTGGCCATCTGATCTTCAGTGTCGAGTGAGCGTAGGTGGCAGATGCTGACGAATGTCTGTAGTTTGTTGGAAATGCTTTTCGTAACGCGCCAAGTTTCTGAACCATATAGCAACACTGAATTACTTGACTGAATTAGTGTTGAAAATCCGGATCTTGTTCACGCTTCATGCTGAGTGCAGTGCAGTAGATCTCCACACTGATTTCAGATTAATGAAGGCTTATCTTGCTGCATTACCGATCCTGGCTTTGACAACCTCATCTGTGCCGTCTGTAGTTGAAACGATGCTGCCTAGGTAGGTGAAAGAGACTACTTCCTTTAGGTTTCTCCCGTTGATGGTGATTGGTACTTGTTGTTGTTGTTGTTGTCGGTTGTATCTTCATCACCTGTCTTCTCTACACTCACTTGAAGTCCCGTCTTCGCTGCGTTGCGTTGCGTTGCGCTGCACAGCGCTGCCTGTTTTGTCAACTTGTTGGTTTTTGCCTGTAGATCATCGAGTTTGTGTGACATCAGACATAAATCCAAATCTTCTTCTAGGGTCTTTCCATCGGTCAAACAGCATATGCCCATCTTCTCGCTCCTCACAGTTTGCTTCATGACCCAGTCCACCACAATCATGAAGATAATTGGTGATAGTAAGCAGCCTCGTCTTGTCTTACTCCTGTCTTCACTTCAAAGGCATCACAACTTTCCATTGTGAATCACTTGGCATGTGGCGTCGTCATATAGTTGTTGAATGAGGTTGATAAAGGTTTGTGGCACCAAAACCGTAGTGTTGAAGCAGCTACCTGCCAAATTAATTCTCGGTCGACGCTGTCGAAGGTCATTTCAGAGTCGATGAAGTTGAGGTAGAGAGTTGACTGCATTCTATACTCTGTTTTATGATGATGCGTAGCGTAGCGATGCGATGTGATCCATACATGATTTGTTCTTCCTGAAGCCAGCCAGCCAGCCAGCCTGTTTCGGTGGTAATTTTGAATCCAGTGCATCCTTTAGTCTCTCCAGGATGATGCGGCTTAATCGTTTCTTAGTGTGGATAGGAGCATGATTCTGCGCCAATTCTTGCAAAGACTTTGAAAGTTTGACAAGGTAGCCATTCTTCCAGTCAGTGGGCAGGTATCCTTCCTTCCCTCCAAACCTTGTGTAATAGTGGTATGAGCATGCCCGCTGTTGTCTCAAGAGTTTTTTGAAGTGGTCAGTACGTTGTTCCCTTTGTTTTCCCTCTCTGGTGGCAACCGGGCTTCCTTCACTATCTCTCATTGGTTTAATCTTAGTTGATCTCTTCCCTCCCAGACAGCAAGTAACCTGGTTAGTTGATGTGGTGTTGTCTGATCTCTGTCTCTCTTACCTGCAGTCTGTTCTGCTTCACTTGCCAATGTGTCGTAGAAGTGTCTTTTGTCTTTGCGCGCACTCTTCTTCACTTCTTTGTCCAGTGTTTTATAGGTTGTATGCAGGTTCTTTTTTCGTTGTTCACCCTTGCACTACACTGCACTGCATTGGTTCATCTTCTGCTTCACCATCAGCATCACCGTCTTCTTCTCCCTGCTCTATCAGCTTCCATGTATCCTTCGAGATCCATCCTTTGTCTTGTCTTATTTCCTCTTCCCTCCTAACATGTTTATGTAGGTCTCCTTCCACGTATCTCTTTCACAGAGTTCCAGTGTTCTTCCACGCAGGTTCCCTCAGGAATGTTGCTCAATGTCTCCCACTTTTTCCTGATCACTGACTGACTGACCGACTGACGTGAAGATGTCCTTTGTAGTTCCGTCCTTCAGTTCAGTTTCTGTCCTAGGTGTTGGACTTGAACTGCGGTCTATCATCACCAACTTCTGTGAAGGCTTTAGACTTGATTTTGAGTGCAGGTTCCTTGCACTAGATAGTGAGTCGTGCAAATCACCTACATCTGCTCCCCTTCTTGATCTGATCTTGTGTCCAGTAGGGTGCATCTCCACTTCCTTGAGATTGAAATGAAGTCGATCTGGTCTTTAGTATGTCCATCTGGTGAAATCCATGTGGCTTTGTGAATATCCTTGTGTTTGTACACACTGCCTCACTCGAATCACCAAGCCATTAAATGCGCAGAAGCCTGCAAACAGTTCTCCATTCTCATTCATTTCACCAAGTGTCTCTAGACCCATGATGAGTTTTCTTCCTGTCTTGTCTGCTCCCAGTTTGGCATTCATGTCACCCCACCCATTAGAATTTTGATGTCTCTGTCGCCGTCTGGGATCTTGTCTATCACTGATTGCAATTGTCTGTAGAACTCCTTCTTCTTCTCTTGGTTTGCATTATTTGTAGGTGCGTAGCGTAGCATTGTATGATTGTAACTTTCGTTCCTTTTGATTTGAATCTTGCTGTCATGATTGTGGAGTAGATTGGTTCTCACTGCATGAGAGCCTTTGGTGCTCTTGGCAACATCATGATAGCCACTCGAAAACTCAGTGTGCTCGTGGCTGTTGTCTGGGTGATAATATCGGAGTAGATTATTGACTCTCCAGTTAAGAGTTTGAAGAGTCCACTTCCATTCCATCTGCAGATTCCTCGCAGATCCCAAGCACTTCTATACCATATCTTCTCATTTTGTGTGCAATCTGGGCAGGCTTGGTAGGTTCATACATGGTGCGGACGTTGTATGTCCCCGTTTTTACTTTCACCCACATCGATAGAAGACACATCGGCCAATGGTCTTCCGTATAGCATGAAAGGTCACAGCCGCATGACTGACTTGGTTCTTTTGCCTGAAAGTCTATACCTTACTTCTACGTTATTGAAATATAGTTGGACGATATACCGTCAAAGGTACTGCTGTGCAGTACACTCGAAGGTTATTCAACCAGAATCAGCAAGAAGCACAGAAGTGCAGGAGGTCACATTGCCACTTCATAGCAGCACGTAAAGAACAGGTGGTTAGACAAAGGTGATACTTAAGTATAGGAAAGCACTTCAAAAGCAAGATCAGTAAACGGTTTGGAATGTGAAGACATCAAAAAGTGAATACAGCCAGGTCGCCATCATCGTTTTGGGGTTACTAACCAGGGAGTCTATACTTCTCAACACGGTTCAAACCAACAGTCAGTAACTGAATCGACTGGTGCAGCGTCTTTGTCTGGCCACCGTTTGCCTCCTTACTATCTGATTCTACTTCGGCTAGTATAGCACGTCAAGGTAGCCGGTGACTCGGAGGAGGTTGACAACCTCATCGACTGACTCGCGTTCCTTGTCTATAACCCCTCGCTCAATGTTGACATTGCTCACACAGTGATTTCACCGTCAGTGAGCAATGCTGCGAAGATACGTGTTGTCAAAAACCTGTAATCTCTTCGCACCTTCAACGACCATGTCTCATAGTCATATAATAGGAGAGAGTGGAGTGCAACGCAGTAAACTCATCGTCTCATAAGTAGTCAGATAAACCACGCGCGTCAGATTCGTAAGTTGGCCTTCTGCATGCGAGCTGGGATTTCGAAAACATACAACCCATTTAGGCTGGTGCAACTTCCTGAGTAAGTGAAGTGGTCAACGTATCCTACCGCTTCACTGCCTCTCCTGAAATTAAGAGCAGTTGGAGTCCAGTCTTAAAGCATCATCTTATATGTGACAGGCGCAAAAACGCATGCCACATATACTCAGATACTACGGTTATATGCACTAGAACATCGATAAAAGTAAACAGGAATGCTAACTGCTAGCATCGCTGGCAGATAGCATGAATTCTCATCACGTTTAAGCTGCTTTCTCTCCTCCAGGTGTTTAGAGTCAGCTGGATTGAGTCTACTCACATCTATCAGTTCAGATGAGGTTGCAGAAATCTACTGACTTTTCCTAACCTTTGGATGTAGGTTATAAACTGTCTTTACCACTGTTCCTACAGCAGACCAAGAGTCACATCAGACTTTGTCAAGAGAATCACTGACATGTCCCAATACATTCTTAGGTAGCTCCAACCTTGATAAGCACTTGATTTTCTCATCTCCCAACAGGGCACACAGGCTCCGTGCAACCAGTGGGACGCAAACATACACGTACCCGTACTAACGTGCGATTGGAGTGGGTAGTACACAATTGGATATATTGTCGGCACCATAGACGGCCTAAGCCACTCGACCCTTTTGTATTCAAGGGTCACTGACCCATGAGTTGAGCGAAATAGTCAACTCGATGAACAACTTCGTTCCTTTTTGTTAGACGAGGTGCAGACTAGTCGTGAAGCGGTAGTTTGCATATTTTTGTTTTGGTAAAGAAGCATCTCAAATTATCACTTAACGTATCCTGAGGACTGTCCGTCAACTAAAGTCTCGGGTGGCAAGGTCAACCTCTGTCATTTCAGACAAAGAGACCGACATCTTCATAAGAAAGTCCGTGGTAAAAGTAAGGAATCAACGTGCACAATTAACATGTACCTTACCATAGGCTCTAACAGGCTCACGGGCATTCGAATATAGAGCATTCAGCAGAGTGATATGCCTACCTGGTGCCCCTGTCAATGAGAGACGCTACCAAAGACTTCTCGATGGATGGAGTTGAAATGTTGGCTTCTGATTAAGAAATGAAATCCAGTGTTTACTTACTTAAAACTTATGTTCTTATTAAAACCATGTAGCTAAAATACAAAATTTTAACGCGCTTAGAATGGTGGTTGCTTACAAAGCATAAAATGTGTGTCGAAGAATCTATCTGCTGATGTCTTAAATTACAATACATTTCTTCAGCACCAACTGACTGATGATCACAGGATTTCGCCAGTGCAATACACATATACGTCAAGTGATTTATTGGTTTCGAATAAATGAAAGCACCAAACATACTGACTTACAAAATACAAACTATGTCTAATATTAGCCTTTTACTCAGCTCCAATATTTGCGTTACTATTCGTTCAAATCTGAATCACTGTTCATAGTTTAGTCTTCTGGTAATCAGCAGCCGATTGTCTGTTACATCTGATATTGAAATTACTAATTAGACCAGATTTCATAGTCGTTTTCAAGTAGGCTTATCTTTCAATTTCAATAATAATACTAATCATTTTCTTATCAAATCTTACTTGCAAGGCGGATGGATGAATAGTGTGTCAGCATCACTTAGCGCTGGGTCGTCCGATGACCACAACAGCTCTTCATTATTGGGAAAACAGCACCCTGCCAAAATGAGTAGCAACTGTCCACTAGTTTGTTTGTCCTACCCTTGGAATAAAAGTCAACAAATTATCAGAAGAGAAAGGTTAGTTATGCGATCGAGTGAGAGTAGGAATTGGATAGTGCTAATGAGTACATGATGGCATTTTAAAAGCAAACCTTTATTCACAAGCTGAAACATTACCGATACAAAGTGTTTGCGAAAATGGCTATAAGATAACTGACTGTGTGTCGTTAAGTCAGACACCTGAATGACAACGATTGGCTAACAGATTTAAACTCTGGCGAAATCTACAGATTAGCCTGAATTATTTCTAACAGTTTAAGTCGTTCAGCAGATATTTCGTTAGTTGATGGTGCTTTCGAGACAGGGACAATACCTTGTGATATTGGCTGGGTGATTTACAACGAGAACCCTGTCTATACAACAGTTGAAAAACTACTCAACAGTGAAAAATGTCAACATAGACCGCGCAGTCTGTACGCAATTTGCAAACTGATCATTTACTAAATGTATGCCGGTTCATGTACGTCAACTAGTCAGATTCAGATGATCCGAAAAGTTCGGTTCTGCAAATTGAATTTGCACGGGTACGCCATTGATAATCTCGACCCCGGTGTTTAGATCACTTTGCCCTGGTTACACAAATCTACATATCAGCCTGAATGCTTTCTAAGTTTTTTCAGTGGAATATTTCGTTGGCATTTCTACCCTCTTTTTCAACTTGAAGACTTGGACAGTCAGTGATTAGAACCAGTTAAAAGAGGATACTATCTGACTCCCATACGTCAGTCAACTCGACCAGAGATCTTCAACCAGCGTCCTAAATTAACTCCCATACTAGCCTATATGGCCCTGCTACTTTTCCTCGTGTCAGATCAACTACAACCTCCTCAACTTCGCCAGGAGTTGGAGGGTCTATATCAATTTTCCATTCAGGATTCGACTGGATAGCGGACAAAAAAATAGAAGTTGGAGGCCAGTTGGACTGTTCCACAAACCGTTCGCCACATCATTCTAGTCATCTCTCGTGTGAGTGAATCACAAACTCATCTCTCTCTGTACTGTATATATATTGTCCCACTTACACACTGATCTTCTAGCCCCACTCCCATTGATAATTCCAAATAGCTATCTACTGTAACCTATCACCGTTGCCTCTTCTATCTCTTTAGACTTCTCTGTTCTCAATCATTACGTAGACTTACTGCCAGTGTACATTCGAGTTGTTTCCCATCACCCTCATTGTGCTCAGAGCCTGCATGCATTTATTCAGAAGAAGCTGCTGAGCTTCACTGGCTCTTTCCAAACACTTTCTGAGAGTCAGCTACGGTCTTCAACGCTGTTTTAACAGCACACTGGAGATTGCGCTACGCCAGGCTTTCTCCAATAACTGCCCTGCCAGCTTCCCACTGTAAGCATCCCTACTGTTGCATTTAATGAGCTTCACTCATAATAACCTAGTTGCCGTAGCCTTTTTACGTCCATCTAGACGTAAGCACAAACGCACGCTCGAACTAACGCATGGACTTTGTCAAAAGACGTGGACCAGAAGGAGTGACAATCTTCCATAAACCCCCTCCAGCCATAACTGATAACAATACGGTTTATCTCAGGGTGTTGAATGACATGCCAGAAAATGTCTCTCTTCACATCTGACTTTCGAGCTGGCTAGAACTAGAAGATTGCTTGAGTAGAGTTTAAGCAGTTGATCGACGTTAACTATTCTTTCAACTAGGATTCCGAAATTGCCGCCTGGGTGACTTTCGCCCTGATTTCGCCTACTCACTTGTGCATTGAGATCCCCTGTAACAACAACTGTATCTGAATGTTTGGCTTTCAGAGGGAAGCTAGACACTTTTCGGATAAACTCACTCCTCACTTCGTCTGAGCTGTAGTCAGTGGCTGCATAAGCAGCGATTACAATGAGACGACGGAAAGTTTCACTATTCTTCTTAGTCATCAGTGCAGCGTTCATTCGAGCAGCGCATAGGTGAGTATCAACTGGGATGCAGTAGAGGAATGCGCTTTATACCTTGCCATACCTTTGCCTGGAAGACCGCGAGAATTGGCCATCGTATTTCCCGAAACTCGAAGGGTGAATTTTGTAGATCCACCATAATGGTCGGGTGAGGTTAAGTGAATTACCACACCTGGATCCTTCACGCTTGTCTCACAAACACAGCACACATTCATGGCCTGAGATGCCAAAGTTTTCGCTAGCGAAGCTTGTTGGCCGATTTGGCGGAGTGTACGGATACTGAAAGCTCCGATCTGTGGTTTAGAGAGTGGTGTAAGGAAATCAGGTATGCTTTTTCATGAGTTTGAAATGTTATCGAGAGCTAGGAGAAATTGAAGGTCACGCATTAATGTTACCGAGAGAGACGTGAAGCACGTTAAGAAGGTAAGTACGAGGACAACTGATATTGATGTGAGGAGAAAGTTGTAGTTCTGATATAGTTATGTGTTCGGTTGACACTCCCCCAGTGCCTCCACAAGTTGCTTCTTCTTCAGCCGTTTTCGTAAAACATTGCTAAGGAAAGTTGGGTTTTCTCAGATGGGAAGTCTTAAAGAGTGTTAATAGTATTCCCCTGATTGGCAGTACAGTTAATTTCATTCATCGTGTCGCTCTTCTGCAACGAGGTATTGGCTCATTCGTGATTATCAGTGGATTTGAATCTGGTAAATCGCTATAGCACCTGAGGGTGAACAACACCAGTACTTAAAGTGATAGGTTTCGGTTTCAATGTGAACATAAAAACTAACTGAATCCCTGCCGACAACTATCTTGATGTAGTCGTCAGGCTTGTTTATCACAATGACCCAACGAGCTGTGCTGATGAAACATTGGATTTGACTTCCCGTCATACTAGAATGGTCAGTTGGATAGTAAGACGAAAAGTATTTACTGTTACAGGAAGGGTCTACGGACTTCACAATTCTATCAGCACTCTAAACTCCAAGTCACTATCAACCTTCAACATATTTTCCTTTCTTTTCTCGGTCAGTATTATTGCGTCATCTTGAGTCTTCCCTAGCTCTGCATCTCTCGATGACGATTTGAGTTCACGGACCAGCATTCCTGGTCTCCTTACACTGTACTCTAGACTGCACATTGGAGCTGTCAATGTCGACACGTTCCGTCAAATCGATCAACAAGCTTCACTAGCCAAAACCGGCATCCTGGGTCATGGACGCGAAATTCGCCTAAAAAGTTTCTGTAGATTGAATGACTGCCGAGGTACTAACCATTCTTCTGCAGATGCCTCAAAAACAATTATCTTTCCAAAGTACTCCTGTCAGCCCTCAAGTTTCCTCAGACCACTATCCACCTTCGACATTCCTAACTTCTAATCTGCCGTCACGTCTGTCGGCCAACTCTGCAGCTCTTAACAACGAGATGACTTCTTAAAACGTAATCCCTGGTCTCCTGAAACCGCGCTCTAAACCACAGATCGGAGCTTTCAGTATCCGTACACTCCGCCAAATCGGCCAACAAGCTTCGCTAGCGAAAACTTTGGCATCTCAGGCCATGAATGTGTGCTGTGTTTGTGAGACAAGCGTGAAGGATCCAGGTGTGGTAATTCACTTAACCTCACCCGACCATTATGGTGGATCTACAAAATTCACCCTTCGAGTTTCGGGAAATACGATGGCCAATTCTCGCGGTCTTCCAGGCAAAGGTATGGCAAGGTATAAAGCGCATTCCTCTACTGCATCCCAGTTGATACTCACCTATGCGCTGCTCGAATGAACGCTGCACTGATGACTAAGAAGAATAGTGAAACTTTCCGTCGTCTCATTGTAATCGCTGCTTATGCAGCCACTGACTACAGCTCAGACGAAGTGAGGAGTGAGTTTATCCGAAAAGTGTCTAGCTTCCCTCTGAAAGCCAAACATTCAGATACAGTTGTTGTTACAGGGGATCTCAATGCACAAGTGAGTAGGCGAAATCAGGGCGAAAGTTACTCAGGCGATACTTTCCGAATACTGGAAGAAATATCGCTGGTAGCCAGTACTAGATTGAAAAAAACGTTTGGCACAGCGTTCAACAACCTCAGCTGAGTGGCAACCAAAGAAAGACTATATGGCTACGAGTTATGAATGGAGTATCTGCACTCTTTTCGGAAGCTAGCCCTGGCGCAGTGAAACATCGTATTATTGAGACACGCAAAAATGGACATAAGAATAATAAGGCAGTAAGACCGTTCAGAAAGCAAATTAATAATGAGGAAACCACGGTCTATCCTTGTGAAGTCTACAATGAAGTTAAACAAGAACTGTGACAGTGGAAATCTCTGGCGGGCACCACTGTTTGTCGCCATTGTGAAACCCTTGTAGTGACATCAAACATCACAGTTCGGTCACGCATGGCTTTTTCGAAAATGTGAGGCCTGTGTTTTTTCGTTCTGAATCTAGCTATAACTTCATACGACCGCCACAGAAAACCTACAGGGTAGAGGGAGTGTCACTTCTTCTAACATTATTTCTAATGACGACGGTAGAGTCAACATGGAATGCTAGCCATCCGCGAGATACACCTTACTGCTGCCATATCCCGTCTAACTAAACGTAGAACTTCATCCACGGACGCTCATAGTGGTGTAACAATTTACTCTGTGACAGTTACTGCTTTTTGTCTTACTATGTGAATGATCTTTTGGATGTGGCAGGACGTCAAGAAAACAAGTGTACCATCAGCATAGCTCGTTGGGTTATTGTGATAAACAAGTCCGACGAATACATCAAGGTAGCAGTTATCGGTAGGAATTCAGTTAGTACTTATGTTCACACTGAGACCTAAATCTATCACTTTAAGTATCAGTGTTGTCCACCTTAAATTGTTACCATGATTTGTTGCATTTATATTCATTGATATCCACAACAGAGCCACAAACTCGTTGCAGAAGGGCAAGACTATAAATGAAATTTAGCATATTGCAAATTGTTTAGAATATATACAAAATTTCTTAGGTTTTGTCATTTGAGAACACTCAACTTTGCTTCGTAATGTTTTGCGAAAAGTGTTGGAATAGTTCTGAGCTGCTCACCAATTTTTAATGAAACATATCCAGCCATTAACTTCACATGTGATGAGGAATCACACAATAAAATAGCCTTTTTGGATGTTCCTCATTCAACAACAGATGAATTGCTGAGGTCAGACTTACATTAGAAAAGTACATGGATGAGACGACAAACAATTTTTTAACTTCGTATTCCTGGAATAAGTAATTCCAACGATCGGTGTGATCAAGGGCTGTTAGTGTTGCCCGAAATATTATATAAACTAGGTGATTTTTCGTCATGTAAATATCCATTATAAATATTTATTTATAATACATATAATCATTAATGAGTCCCAGTAATTTTTGATTCTGACATTCCCTTCTATATAAATCTTTTCTGAAGAGAACTCTCTGATTACTTGGTATTAACGATTAGCTGTCGCGAAAATTTTGCCCATGGATAAATAACCGCAGAGCCTGAGGGGAAAATTTATTGAAAAGAATATTCTTTGTTCAAGAAACTGTCCTTCTAAACATATTCATGTAAAAGTTAGGGATGCATTACAACAATAAACAGGTATCAATGCATAGCTCCAAGGCTTCGGTAATTCACTTTTGACCACTGATTTACGAGCTTCAGTAGTCAACCTTAACACAATGTTTGTTGCATATGAATGAATTGTATCGGCACCATTACTACTACAGTTCATGCCAAAAATAAAGCAATTATAAAGATATACCTGGAAACCGCCTTCAGTTGCCATTTGACGATGACTTGCCCAATACAATAGTCTAGGTATATCAATTAGGTCTGATCTGCCCAGAATGTACAAGGACGCTAAAGCACAAAAGGTATAGCCACCATGAGCTTCTAATCCGGCTGACCACCGAAACCACCTTCATATGTCTACGATTAAACATTTTATAAAAACACCGAATTACTAACCGCATAAAATCAAAGTATATAAGTGATAAAAAGTACCAAATGAAACAGTCGAAGTATTCTAAAACTTTAAACATAAAATAAATAACTTTAAACTGAGCCAGCTTCATATTTTTATTTAACGTAGCAATATGAATCTAGACAAGTTAACACACTATCACTCAATATTAAAACCTAACGAAAAACAAACTTTCAGACGATAATTTTGAGAGGATCATGACCATGAATTTTGAACTGCAACGAAACTCCTGGTCAACGCTGCTCAATACCGAATACCTTTTTGGATAATATCCGTTCACGATCATGGGAGTTGTCTGAGAGCTAATTTATGAAGTTGGTTGGTGAATGATGGATCCCAAACAGTATTCTAAAAGTAATGGGTAAAACAAACCATCATCAATACCAACAAGGGAGTCGGCTTCTTCTATTCGCTGCTATGCATACAGTTATAGAACGGTTACATTTTACAACCAAAAATATGGTAAAACTTATCAAATTCAGGTGTACCATCACCACAATACTTCGTGTATGATTTCATATGCTCAAAATATTATACTATCCCCCTTTATTTTCAGTGATAATATGTGAAGGTATATTTACGTGTTTTGCAAGACCTGCAGAAAAATCAGGTGTAAGATACGACTGTAAATCACTACACGTAATCATCTTCTTCGGACGCAATGAAGCAGTTAATTGCAATTGACGTGAAGTATCTGATGTCAATAACTTAAAAGACTACTTGCACGCACTGGAGTTTTCAAACAAACAGAAGCAAACAAGTTAACAGATTCCGCTGGTGCTTGAAAAGTACACTAATACGAAATGACAAAACCCAAATTACCATACAAAAAGTACTTTTAAATGATTTTCGGAATGCAATGGAATAACAACTATTAGTTTTTCAGTGTCACACCACCGAGAACAGTCTAGTATGCGTAGTAAGCCCACACCAAACTCTTCGATGAATCTCCCGAAATATTGGTAACTACTTATGAGACTAAGCATCTTATGAGCGCAAGAATGACAAAGAAGCTGTCATGTTGCAAGAACAACCAACGAAAACTTTCCTTCTATCCATTTCGACAGCTCCTTATGTACCCTAAAATTGTTATTCTGGTTTTATAGGAGACCGAATATGAACACAATATGGTTTTGGATGGCCAAGTGATAGCGGTGAGTAGAGCTTATTGTGGCTTTGAAGGTCTAACTAATAAATCCTCGGTACCTGCGAGCTCACTGTAACTTCTTGACGTTCTTCAGTGTATTGTGATAGGCAGTAAGTAAAACAGTGTGTTAAGTCCCTTATGCAACAGATCAAACAACATTTGCGTAAAGAACATCAAGCTTAGTGATCAAAAAGTGTAAGATGGAGTAACAGCTTCATTTGACAATAGTCAGGAGTAATTCCAGCTTATTTGAGCAAAAGGATACAAGAAAACTGCTGTTACTGAGGCGGTATGAAAAGCAGAGTAGGTGGTACGCCGATCAACAAGCTTTGTATACATATGGAATACTGAATGGATCACTTCAAAAAGCAGTTTTCAGCCGGCCTACTGCTCCAGTAACATCGAATTTGGTGTCTAGCTCACTATGGTGCTGCTACCGCCAACCGAACTAACTATATGAAGGACCAGAAAGAACGTGAAGCACTAAAGCACCAAAATGAACCCGTCCTAGCAACTTACTGTTAGCACTATAAAGCTGGAGGTGAGACCATAGGTAGAGAACTAACTCCATTGTTTGGAAACGTATGGAAGACTAAGTGTTCCATCACTCTGGGATGCAGTAATTGCTGTGAGCATTTTTGAAAAGAGTCTACGTAAAGTGTGTGATCTGCATTTGGGCATGAGTCTGCTAACAGTAGTATCTGAAATTTTGGATGTTATCACATTGGGCAGGTTTTCCAAAAAGCATGACGAAATGCATGGCCGACTGGATACGATGAGTGATAACTTGAGAATATTTGGAGTGCTTTTTCAGCACCAAAATGTAAACTGGTGCATCACGACTGGTCTGTACCTTATGTGACAATAGGGGAAAAAGTGGTTCAGTGAGCTGACTATTTTACTTACCAGATGGATCAATGACTCATGATTACAAAAGGATAGAGCGGTTTTAGCCATCTATGGTGTCGGCAAAATATCTGATCGCCCACTAAGAGTCGACTGTACTGCACAACAGTAGCATTAGCGGTATATCGTCCAACCTCATTTACGCAAAGAAAGCAAGTCAGTTGATGCAGCTGTGAACCTTCATCATCTCATTTGACCGCGAAGTGTTACGCAGACCTAATCACCTACTTCATCGTGCAATATTAGCTGAAGTAAGAACATGCCTGATAAAGTTCGGAAGCGACCAGATTAAATCACGGCATTAATCCATGAAGTCTGACTGCTGGTCTGAGCTGTGTAAGAAAATACAAACTATCTGGTTGAAATTCGTATAACAAACGAAATTGGTGGTGGGAGACTCTAGGTGATATGGTACAGGATCGATCTCAGTGGTATCGACGGATCCATATACTATCTGTATCCTAATCGTCATGTCGAACTTCGTTGTTATTTCATCCGACCTCCTTTTTTTCTATGAGTTTCTACTAGTTTCAATTACTGTCTTCCTTATTTTCATCTTCGATATATGTGCCTTGAACCCATATGAGCCGGTGTTATGTGACAACTTGGGGAATAATGCAGTAATGCTGAGTACCTCCTTGGTAGTGACTGACTGCTTAGCACGCTAGGTTTCTAAACATGAATTAGTCGCAGGACATAAGTTCGCACCTTGATAAATGTAGATTGTGGTGCTTACTTAGAGCCAGATATAGGTATCAGTGAAGTAATATTGAATGTATAAGATTACTACTTGAAGACTTCTTAGAGCTTAGTTTGAGAATATCAATTACGTATCTTAGGAGCGACGACTGAGAGTTAGTAGGAAATTCCGACGCCAATCATAACCAAGATACTCAGTATCACACTAAATTTATCAGTAGACACTTAGGCCTATTCAAAGGGTTATAAAAATTCCAACGAAGCCTGGTTAGCATAATCCCAAAAAACAGAGACGTGATAACTCATATCACTAGACTACAAGCATAAATAGAAGTGGTTTCAATGAGAACCAACAAGAGGTCTAAGAAATGACTATAAAAAGTCGTGGGTAGTGCATCTGAACAAATAGACGTGCCAGCGATGGGTAGTTGTAGACACCTGTTTGAACTTTATTACTATTATTCTTATTATTATTAACTACTTGGGTCCCTTGTGGAACATACAACTTAAATTGCACGTCTCCATTCCACTCTCTTCTCTGCAGTCTTTCGGACCGGGCTTCACGACTGCCCACAACCTTTCATTTCTTCCTCACATGATATCCTCCATGTCATCCTCGCCTCAGACGCCCAACTCGTCATTTCCCATTTGGATTCCACTCGACGGCCTCACCCGACGCGTGATGTCCCCAAATGGTCTTCTCAGTGAGCGTATGCCCCATCCAATCCATCTCCACTTTATTCTGTATATTTGTTGCGCGATGGGTTCTTAGTTGGCTCGTTGCCCGGCCAGAGTGAGTTCCTTGTTCCTTATTCTTATCATTCTGGCCATCTGATCTTCAGTGTCGAGTGAGCGTAGGTGGCAGATGCTGACGAATGTCTGTAGTTTGTTGGAAATGCTTTTCGTAACGCGCCAAGTTTCCGAACCATATAGCAACACTGAATTACTTGACTGAATTAGTGTTGAAAATCCGGATCTTGTTCACGCTTCATGCTGAGTGCAGTGCAGTAGATCTCCACACTGATTTCAGATTAATGAAGGCTTATCTTGCTGCATTACCGATCCTGGCTTTGACAACCTCATCTGTGCCGTCTGTAGTTGAAACGATGCTGCCTAGGTAGGTGAAAGAGACTACTTCCTTTAGGTTTCTCCCGTTGATGGTGATTGGTACTTGTTGTTGTTGTCGGTTGAGTATCTTCATCACCTGTCTTCTCTACACTCACTTGAAGTCCCGTCTTCGCTGCGTTGCATTGCGCTGCACTGCGCTGCCTGTTTTGTCAACTTGTTGGTTTTTGCCTGTAGATCATCGAGTTTGTGTGACATCAGACATAAATCCAAATCTTCTTCTAGGGTCTTTCCATCGGTCAAACAGCATATGCCCATCTTCTCGCTCCTCACAGTTTGCTTCATGACCCAGTCCACCACAATCATGAAGATAATTGGTGATAGTAAGCAGCCTCGTCTTGTCTTACTCCTGTCTTCACTTCAAAGGCATCACAACTTTCCATTGTGAATCACTTGGCATGTGGCGTCGTCATATAGTTGTTGAATGAGGTTGATAAAGGTTTGTGGCACCAAAACCGTAGTGTTGAAGCAGCTACCTGCCAAATTAATTCTCGGTCGACGCTGTCGAAGGTCATTTCAGAGTCGATGAAGTTGAGGTAGAGAGTTGACTGCCATTCTATACTCTGTTTTATGATGATGCGTAGCGTAGCGATGCGATGTGATCCATACATGATTTGTTCTTCCTGAAGCCAGCCAGCCAGCCAGCCTGTTTCGGTGGTAATTTTGAATCCAATGCATTGTTTAGTACCAGCTTTTGAAGACCTGTCACGTATGATGTGTCTAATATGACAACGGAACATATGTTTATTTACTGTTATGAACCACACTATTTCTGTGAGGGCTTAGGAAACTAGTCGGCTGCTCACACCGAAGTAGGTAGCGTGGGGCTTGAACTCAGGGCTTAGTACCTGAATGAAATTTGCTTCACCAGATAACTAATGTATGTATTGAAGTTTCTGAGTAGGAATACGGAATTCAGAAATTATTCCCTAGTGTTCAAGAAAGAGCTCCGGGAGCTATAAAGACCGGTTCTAATGCACTAGAGAATTCGAGAATGATTATTGATTAATTTAGAGAAGTTTAGCCAACTGAAGTTGACTTTTTTCTGTTTTCTTTACATTAGTTAGCTATACAAAATTTTCATTCGAATGTTCAGCACATACATATATTTCCCGTTCATTATGACCACATCTATTAGGACTAGTAATTATGGTGATATAGCTACATTCCAACTGTTTTATTTCGCTGATACCATTTTTTGTCAAATAGCTGACTTACTGCTGTTATTCCACGAGCATCCAATTTACCCTACTATTTTACCGGTAACTTGTTACTACAAATACTCTAACCAGGGTATAAAAGTGATGCGAAAAATCATGTTAACAACCATTGAGTTAGATCTTATCATATCACGTGTAGATGTGCACAAATGTTTGTTACCAATATTCGAGAAATACTATAGCTTGACCATTGCCAAAACAATAAACGCTAAAACAAAGTAAAGAAACTAACCTGACAACCAGCAACCCACTCAGCAGTTGAATCAAATAAATCGGGGTATTTCTTAAGCAACCCTGTAAGTTTAGCTACTGCTACAGCACAGTAGACGCCTCGAATATCAGCTTCACCTCCTATATGCATTATAAAAGAACCATCAGGTTGGTGAAGTTTGTGCATCCAGTTGGCTAAGGCATTTCGATCGATAATATCTACAGCGGCTCGGCGACGTAAGGATGCCAAACAGTTCACTGCACCATATGATGTTGCGAGATGTGCAAACTGATAAGGACCACCACCAAAACCACCATCTGGATGCTTAGCAGAGAACAAAACAGAATATATGTTATCACGACAGTTATTCAGATGCTAAAATACCAATCGTAACATCTAAAACGATACCGATGGAACTGTAGTTGAAGATGTCATTTATTTTCACAGTGTGTATTAAAGATTTGATCTTTCTGCACCTAGTTACTGAAGATTGTTCTCTTCTCACAGTATGACTGAGGACAGGAAGAAACTACTCTTGAAATACTTCAAGATGTCTGTATGCAACATACTTTGCCTACTGACCCGGTTTTACTCTACGTTGCGAGGTGATATGGGTGTTTGTGCGGTGTTGAATAAATAAAAGTGCAGGATACTGAAACTTAAGATGAACTGACAATACAATAAATGAGTACCATTCCTAGTTGCCAAAATACACATAAGCCCAATATGAGAGAGGACAACAAACAGTGAGCAAAAGGAGTAAGATAACTGAGCTGATCCGAAAACCAGCTTGGATGCATCTACAGAATTTAATAGCAATGGTGAAGGGGATACCGAGCAAGTATAAGATCCTTATCAAAGCTCTCTACTCGAAATCACTTCGCCGTGTAAAGCCTTGAGAAGAGCTGTCATATTAACTAACGACAACCAGTAGTGTCCACCGGGATGCCAGCCGTCACCGTTCTTGTTTAACTTCGTTTCAGAAATATTAAGAGATGTAATCTCGGGAATCTCTGACTTCACAAGGATTGACCTTTGCACGAAAACCATCTGGTTGATTTGGCGTACCCATACGGCACTGTTCTGCTACGTGAAGACGCCCGGCTAATAGCTGCTAACTTGACGTGGTGGTCAGGCTTGCATATTACAATGACCCAAAGAGCTATGCTGGTGGAACACTTGTTCCCTCGAGGCCCTATCATACCAGAAAGGTCTGTTGGATAATGGTTAGACGACAAGCAGTTACCTTTGTAGTGTAAATTAGTACACCATGATGGGAGTCTGAGGGCGAAGTCGTACTGCTGTTAGCTGGATAGGGTGTGACAGCAGTAAGGTGTTTCCCTTGAATGACCAGTAGTGCCATGCTAATGCTTCCTTCTCAGTGGAAGGAGGGGAGTAGAAACGGTCGGCCCCCAAAATAACACATCCCACCATACCCCATGGTCTGCCGGGCCGGCGGTGTTGGTCTATTTGTCATTTCCTTTCGACCATCCGGTCCCCAAAAATACAAATGTTCAAAACAACCATACACAAAAGGTTGAGTGTGACAGGCCTCAAGCAGATGTCCGATGGGCTCCGCGGTCACACAAATCTCTTTCAGGTACCTTAAGAAGAATAGCCTTCCACGGTATGGGCAGCCGGGAAGTGTCAACCGACCTCACAACTCTGTTAGCACTCAAGCTTCTTTAGACTGCTATCCACCTCCCCCATCATTACATTCTAATCTTTCTTCACGTCTCTCAATTAACAATACTACATCATCAATTTTTCCTAGCTCTGCAGCCTGTGACAACTATCTGAACCCACAGAACAGCATCCCTGGCCTCCTTAAACCAAGCTCCAAATTACACATTTGGACCTTCAATGTCCTCAACCTCCGTCAAATTGGTCAACAGGCTTCATTGGCCAAGACTCTAGCAATTCGAGCCATGGATATGTGGTGTTTTTGTGAGACTCGCATACAGGACCCAAGTGTGGTTATTCGCCTAACCTCTCCCGCCCAATCTGATGAATCGCAAAACTTACTCTTCCAGTTTCTGGAGATTTGATGGCCAGCTCTTGTGGTTTTGCAGGTGTAGGCATAGCACTAAGCACTAGGGCAGAAAACTCACTACTAGACTGGACCCAAGTTGATAGTCGCCTCTGCGCTGTCCGGCTGAACAGCACAGTGAGAACTAAAAAGAATAGTGAAACTCGCCGTTGTCTCTTTGAATTCTCTGCTTACGCACCCACTGACTGCAGTTCGGATAAAGTGAAGGACGAGTTCCACCGAAAACTGTCTAGCCTCCTTTCGAAAGCCAAACACCCAGACATGATGGTTGTTGCAGGAGATTTCAATGCACAGGTGGATACACTGAGGCAGAAAGGCACTTAGGTGACACTTTCGGAATCCCGGCTGAACGAACAGATAACGGTGATCGCCTACTACAACTATGCTCAGGTAACCGATCGTTTTTAGCTAGCACAAATTTCAGACGCAAAGACACTGTCTGACGTGTCGTCCACCGAGATCAACTCAGCGATGGACACAGATAGACCACATTGCTATCAATCATTGGAGAAGATCGGTGGAAGACTGTCGCTCCTTCTGGAAAACGTGTTTGGATAACGACCGAGCGTTGGTCCAAGCGCGTACATGCCTGCGTTCCAATGGACGTAGGGAGAATTTGGCAACAACCATTACGAGTGCTGCTGGACAACGAAAACAACGAAGCCGCTTTCAGTGAAAAATTGGCTAGACAGTTATTGGAACACAACACTATCACTCACTCAGAAGAAGCTTACTGTCATCTTCAGTCTGACGTAAAAGCAGCGCTGAAGACCGTAGCCGACTCCAAAATATTGGCCCAAGAGAGCCAGTGGATATCAGCAGCTTCCTCCGAACCAATGGATGCACGTGAACGCATCCCTGCAGGCTCTGAATACAATGAAAAGCGGACACAACCTAAAAGTAGACTGAGAAAAAGTCTACACAACGACCGCGAACAGTAGTGGGCAGCAAAGGCTAAAGAGATGGAAAAGGCAGCGGCGACTGGTAACAGTAAACAGATATTTAGACTTATTAAGGAAACTGGCGGGGAAAAGGTCGACTGCGGTTAGTGAGACCACAGCGGAGAAGGACGGATCTGCGATTCACTCGCAGAAGAGACGACTGGAACGATGGGTAGAACACTTCGAGGAACAGTTTAACTGGCTTTCAGTCACCATTGCGCTGCTTGCTATCCAGTCGGACCCTGAATGGGTCATAGAGACAGGCCCCCCAACACTAGCAGAAGTCGAGAAAGCGGTAGGTAACCTGAAACGAGGAAGGGCAGCAGGACCAAACGGACTAACTCCTGAGGTATACAAGAATGGTGGTGGGGTGCTCTGAGTCAGGTTAACGGAAGTGTTAACTAGGATATGCGAATCAAATACGACCCCCTCTGACTGGTCTAAGTCACTGATTATCCCAGTCTTCAAGAGAGGCGAGAAGTCCTCTTGTGATAACCATAGAGGAATCAACCTGACGAACATAGTGTCCAAAATTATAGGTTCCATAATTCATCGACGCCTGAGTGGAGCCCGTGAACAACAAGCCCAAGAAAACCAAGTAGACTTTAGACCTGGCCGCGGATGTATCGACCAAGTATTCACACTGCGCCAGGCTCTGCAACACAGGCACGCTTACCGATGCCCGACGCTGGCTGTATTTCTCGATCTGAAGGCGGCGGCATTCGACTCCGTTGATCGAG